TTATTTTAAATAAAGTAAAAAAGATCTGAACTTGATCTGTCACAGTGTCGCTTATTGCTTGTTTCCAAATTTCAGGTAAGTCGGCTTTGTCCGTAAGAAAATTACTAAATTGCAGCTACAAGTTGCATTTGTTCTGTTGCCGTTAATGTGAATGCAGGATGAGGGTACGAGGAATCTGAAGTTGCTGACAGTTTTTAATTAAGCCCAAATTTCAAATTCTTATCAGATTTCTAAAACAGAGAGCATCACAAACTTGGCGTCAGTTTGTCACAAAATTTCTTGTCTTTTTGTTGCGAGGGCGCTTACACTAGACAACAAGGCAAAGAGAGAGTATAACACACACAGCGCATTTCAGCTACAAATAAGACCTCAAAATCCAAGATCTCCTCAGAGATCACATGACTCAAACAAAACTAAACTTAGTGGACCAGATCTGTTTGTGCTTTTATACGTAGCGAAAGTGCAAACTGGGGATTATTATTGGGGTTGAGAAACGCTGATATCACAGTGACAGCTGGAAAGATATTTCGCTACAAACTGGCAACTGACTTGGAATTGTAAAGGAAGTGCTTTGATGTTTGGATCCACACATTATAAACATGATAACGGGTTTTACGTGCAGCTCCTCTGTCTCTGCGCTCCACTGTTCAGGCGCTGTGCATGCACGTCTCTTCGCCTTTCTCTCCTCTCTTCTGGCTCTCTGATTGGCTGCTGTTTGCATCATTCTCTTGACCCTCTGACACTACAGGACTGGTGAACGTTTTGAATCATAAATATCAAACATGTTTGATCGTGTCAGAGGGCCTACGATCACCTCTGAGTTTGATAGGAGGGCTAATATTTCATTTGTTTCTCCTCTCACACTATCAGATCATCTGCGCTGTCAGTCGCTTCTGTTTGAGCTCCCGACCTGGAAAATTGCTTCAGGTTGTGAAAATTCTTTGCAAGAGGCAAAGCAGGGTTAAAATCGGGCAAAAAAATTGTGTAGTGTGGGCCAGCTTAAGGGAACATGAATCTTAATGGGTGTGTGACTCCCTCCATGTCTGCTGAAGTACACAATAATTTCCTTTGTTTTGTCAATGTTGAATGTGAGATTGTTGTTGTGACACCACTCCAGCAGCTCTGCTAACTCCCTCCTGCAGGCAATTTCATTACTGTTGCTGATGAGATTGATTATTGTGGTGTCATCAGCAGAACTGACGACTGTTGTTGATTATAGCCACGCAGTTATATGTAAAACAGAACGCAGGTGATGGCTCAGTTAGCTGCCTCGGGTGCCCTGTGTTTAGGATGAGAGGGAATGAGGTTATATTTCAAATCCTTTCAGCTTGGGGTCTGCCAGACAGGAAGTCCAGGACCTACTTGCCAATGGAGTTGCTGAAGCCCAGCTTACTGAGTTTGGCCGCCAGCTTGTCCAGCACGATTTTGCTGAAGGATGAGCTGAAACTAATAGATATAACGTCTTGGCAGACGTGTCTTGTCCAGTAGCCGTAAAGGGCCACAGCACAGAACAGTTAGTGTCACTGGGCCATAGACATTTAGACGTTGAATGTCTTAGATTTAGAAGCCGATGTTAAGGTTTTGCAGGTTTATTGGTATTGCTGAAAAGACACCAGTATTGCTTTGAAGTTGCTTTTTTTTTATTACAATAAACACACTTCTTAACTCGTTCATTTTTCAGTGTTCTCATATTTTATTGCAACGTTTACCATATAAAACTTACTGGCTGTATATTTGTGACAGCTTTTTCATAGCGCTCTTGCCCAAAGCATAGTAGCAGTGCTCTTGAAAAGTGGAACAGCAGACAAGGACAGTGATACTGAGTTTTACAGTGATGACAGGAGTTGGATGTGCAGTGTATGTCTTTAAAGTCCAAACCTTTTAGTGAAATCACTTTTTAGTGATTCTCCAAAGTTCCTGTTCACACAGCTGAAGCACACATTCCTCAAATGGCTGACTGGGCGTCCTGTATGAATGTATCGTAAGCATCAAATCTCACATAGATTAATTTTTTTGGTCAGTTGGTCAGACAGTGAAGCGTCAGTTGCTATTACACTCTTGTCTGTTTTAGTTGATTGCCTGTAGGGCCTTGTATCATTGCCTCAACACTGGGAGCCTGTGTTGGGGCACTTTCAAACCTGTCTGTTTTTGCACATCTGATGGCCCTCTCCTGTATAGCATATGGTGTCCTAGTTTGAAGACTATGAAACACCAATATCAACAAATGTTTGATAAACTGTATAACTGATTCTGCAGACTTTTTAATGTCTTTGAACACAGTCCAGTCAGAGAATTTAAAGTAGTATTGAGAGCTGTGCTCTTCCTGTATGGCCCAGCTGCTCCATCTTCTCCTTAGGGGGCATCTTCCCATTAGTCTTGCCCAAATCTCTGCTGAAGGGCCTCCATGTAATTTAATACAGGGCGGTCACTTGAGATTATATTACTAATCAGGTAATCTGCTGATTACTTTGGTGACCAGTTGAGTAATCTGTTTTTGGCCAGAAAATGCAAACAAACTTAACTGAACAATAGTGTATCATGCATAGTGTGTTTAATTTTACTCATGCAATTTGTGAGTTTCCTCTCTTTCATGGATGCACACAAAACTGTGTGGACAGTCTTCAGCCTGCTAAACCCAGCTTTATAATGACCTTCAGACTCTTCAGACTATCATTAAAATTGCAATCTAAACTCTAAGCAGATGAAAAGAGAACAACTTTTTTGTAAATCTTTTTTTTAGCCAATACTGCTCTAGTAGCCCTAATATGATACCGTACTCTGTAGTTGGTTTTCAGTTCTAGAATTATACTGCAAATGCCACTGAGCCTTCATACCACAAAGATCTGTTTAAATGTCATTGAACCGCATTTGCAGCATTATCTACTGTACTTTTGCCAGCTCCTTTTTGAGCAAGGACTGTCTTTGGTCACAACTTTCTTCTCTCATTTTGCCTTCTGTAACTCATTTAGACTTGCAGTCGGCATCCATAGTTTCTCTAAGAAGTCCTCTTCGTATTCTGCAACTACATTTAGAATGGTAATCTAGGTAGTATGGAGGTAGATAGAGAGAGAGATAATTATCTTCACAGAAGTTGAAAAAAGGTGATCCATTAAGTAGAGTCTGTCTATAAACTGTGTAATACTTTGAGGGTAATGTATTAAATCTAGGCCATTTAAAGTCACTGTGAATCGGAAATCATAACACGTTTTCCTACTGTGTCGTGAAGTATTTCCAGCTAAAACACAGTATTAGGGAGAGGCTCTGAGCTTTCTGAACGTTTTTGGTCGATGGTAGGTGGGATGGTGGGAGAAGGAGATGAATCATGATGGTCTTATTTTATTGTTATTATTTTTCCCTGCCCACAGGTGCACAGTGATATAGCCAAAAATCAAGAAGATATTTTAGAAGCTGGACAGACATTACATTTTAATGGGAGATTGCATAACAAGACTTTTGTCTTTTATGTGATGCAGTATTATGAGTTGTGCATAAGATGATCAGGCACATGAACAAACTAAAAAATGTCAGTTTTAGGTTATTTTTGAGGGTTGTGTTTAAAGTACTCTTATTAGCTATCAAATCCTGTTTGTTCAGAACTGCAAGAGAATTTAATTCTGTCCCCAACCCAGCCGTCCCAGTCATCTTTAACACTATCCCCACACCATCCCTACGTGCTTCAACACAAGCCCCCCCATCCCTGCATTACCCAGCACCATACTCACTTCATACTCGTGTGCCCAGTCACCCTGCACCACCCCGTGCCATCTCCACACACCCCAACAGTATTACCATTTTATACTGAAATACTGTTTTTCAAGCTTAGAATTTTTTTTAAATTCAGGTTTTTTTTGTAATCATATCTTGACTTTTATCTAGACTTTTTCTAGAGTAATGGAGAACGTTTTCTTAGTGAAAATTCTCACGTATCAGTATTTCTAAAAGACGTAGCTACACGGGCTTATAACGATAGGTAATTTGACCTAGTTTAAAACTGTACTGTATAAGTATGATTTTAGAAGTACCCTTTTCATGTGAACAACGATGTGTGTTTTGTGGCTTATTATTCAGTCAGATTGTCTCTTATAACCATCTAAACAGCAAATGGAGTGATAAATAGGTTTTGTTAATTCTGGTGTACACAGACTAATTCAAACCAAATATTTTAAAAGTTGTTTTTGGCTTTTGAAAGGCTTTTGGAATACCTAGAAAACAACATCCAGTCTGTCAGGCTTTTAGGTGCACCCCCCTTCCAGGTACATCTGACCACATCTGGAGCTTTACATTTAGAATATAAGTACACAGCAAGCACTTGCTACAGATGTAAAACTTGTAGGTAATGGTCAGATTGCTAAGCAGTTTTTATAGCACTGGTTGCTAAGCAGTGATTTGAGGACTGAGAAAATAAGGTATAAGATTGGTATGAGAATGAGACTGATGAACAACAACGGGTTAGTCATGCAGAATGAATTGGCCATAGCTGCTGTAAAAGAATAAATTATTAATAATAATAAGTGGTTGTTTCATTCCCATTCCCACAGTGGTAATAAGCATTTTATTGCTTGCATGGAAATATTGTAATTATCGTGATCTTCTTTCCTATGTAGAATCTCCATTCACAGTGTTATGTAGTCCATGACAAGGCTTTATCCTAGTCTAGCTAACTGACTCTAAGAGCTGTTATCTCTGAGTGTCAGCTCTCAGTGCAGTTCTTAAAGATTAAAGTTTGATGTGCTATGCTCTCATCATTAGTCTTCCCCATATTGTATGATTTGATGGCCATGTGTGGGTGGTAGTGTTGATAGGAAAAATAAATCAAACTCCAAATCGCACATTGCTCGTTAATGTTTATTGTTTTGTGAAATTGGAGTTTGAGTTTGTGCGTGACAGTTCAATTTTAGCAACCCACAACTAGGGAACAAACGTGACTTCGCCTTGCTGTGATTCATGCACATTCTGGATGTTTCTACGATATTTACGCATTTTCTTTCTTTGTTTTACAGGTTGCAGACTATTTTGAGCCGGTTTGATGAAGTGTTGAATTCTGGGAACATGGCTCTCAGCCTCAGTCAAGGTAAGGCAGCATTAAAATGATTGATGGAGTTACAGATTGTTGACATTGTCTGGCTAAGCTTTATTGGAAGTGCAATATAAATCTTTCTGTAATGACAGCACAGGCCTTTATCAGACCGCCTGGCTTTTTTCTAGTATAGAGGTGATGTCTTTCCTGTACAAGTCCAACCCCCTTCGCCACCACCAAGTGTATCTAGTATCTGTGAATTCTTGACCAGATGATATTTATCACTTTTTTTCAGTTTTGCTTCACTCAGTTCCACAGTGAAACTAAGCTAAATTAAGGTTCTCTAAATTTGACAATTTACGGTGATCCACTTTGTTGCAGTTATGTTGACATTTACACGTACAACCTATCTGTAGAACATATCTGAAATTTTGATAATTGGAGATGATTTAATCCTCTTGTTTTAGTCTGTAGAACAGCTGAGATGCAGTGTTCAGGGCCAATATAAGCAGACAGTGATGAATTTAATATTGGAGGGAAAAAATGAATGAATCTTTTTCAATCCTGTAACAAATGAAACCTGAAATAGTGCACTTTTACATTGTGTGATGTGATGTTAGCTGTATTTTTTTTTAGTGTTTTTCTTCCTGTTTGGTAGCATAGTATTTGAGTAGTTTGAGCATGATGTGCTACCTTTAGTGAAGTGCCTTAATTAAACAATCAAATACCTAACTTTAAAGAAGGTCTCAGAATCTGGATCGGAAAAGAAAAACTGACATTGTGCCAGCTCTGGTGTTTACAGCTGTTGGAAATAAAGCCTGCAGAAAGTAGAATATTTTTACTTTTTTCCTTGGCCCAAATAGCCAAGATATGGATTTACTGCGATCAACTGGACTTGACTGTGTGCAGTGAGTTTGACAGTAGTAGATTCCAGATCTTGCAGAAATGTATTCATGTACATCTTCTGTTAAGTACCTCAAAGATTCTGCTACTTTTCTACTTGAATTTAGACATGCTGATGTTACTACTGCATTAGTTTAGTTGTTTGGCTCACATGGAGGGAGTTGAAAAGGCGTAGTTATTCAGTGAACTTGCCCAGTAAGCTGCGTCGGGGGGAGAGGGTTAGAGAACACTGTGCCTGTCACTGCTTTTCCCTGACACGGCGTGACAGAAAGAGGGAGAGAGAGAGAAGAGAGGGGGAAAGAGAGAGAGTGAAAGAGCCTCTTCTCAGAAGCAGTGTAGCCATGGCAGTTGGCGACGATGGGGATGGTGAGTGTGTTTGCTTTCGTGATTTGTCAGAATGCGCATTTTATGTTTTTTGTCATGTTAGCTGTTTGTATGTGTGTAGATGTCAACTTGGTTAGAGCATATGGCTAAGTGTGCAAAGCAGCTTACTGAAAGAGCAAGAGCTGGATGAAGAGGAGTCATCGCTGGGCATCTGAATGTGGCTTTTTTTTTTCCCCAGTGCTGTTCTGATTTTTCTGGGTTTGTAATTTAGAAAGTCTTAGAATGCTTGAATGTTTAACTTTGGCAAGCAATTATAATTGATTTAAGAATATGAGTTAGCAGTTGTGTAAGTTTATGTGCTTGTTGTAGACATGTTTGTTTCTGCGTCACTGGTTTTCGTCCCTGCAGAGAAAGCATGACCCGGTTTTCAGGCCATTTTGCTGTCATGGCTACATGTTGTTAGACTCACTCTGACTCTCAGATTTTAAAATTGCTTTTAAAATCTGGAATTTGTGTGTGTGTTTGATGTTTTTAGGCATGTATATATTGCTACATAGCCTATAAAAGGTTTTATTGTTTGTGTGTGTTTCTTGGCAGATGACCTCACTTCCTTTCTTAATCCTCATAAACAGATCAGATTAAATTGCCAATTACGTTACAGTTCAGGCAGCAGAGCTCAGGCATTAAACACACCCACAACTACTACACGCTCTATTCAGAAATAACTGAATGGTCTATTTCATTATGTAGTAAATGTAAATGGCAGTGTGGTTTTGATTATTTGCAAGATTTAATTTATATGTATGAAACTAAAACTGTTCCATTCCATCTCTCATCCATCACTGAAATCGCTCTCCATTATGGACAGTCCAAACTTATGTTTTTAAAAATGCATCTTCCAGAGTTTACTGATCTCACTTGAGCTGTTTGTTTTTCCTCAGTTTTCTATAGATGTTATTCAGAAAGTCTGCATTCTTTAAAATTGTATTTCTCAACGTGATTAATTGCTAATTTGTAATTCTAAATTGCAGTCAGACTGAACTAGTTGCAGTATCCACACGGCTTTCTGAATCCCGCTTCCACAGGGGATGTGGGTTCCCGTTGTAGTCATGGAGACGGCCTTTTGAGAGGCACCCGCTCCCCCCGCCCTGCACAGTCCTCTTTTTTCTCCCTTTCTTTCCCTCCTCTTTACCCTGTCCACACTTTCTTGTCCTCTCACCCTCTTATCACTCTCTTCCTCTTATGTTCTTGTGTTCTCTGATTTGCTTTTCTTTATTTGGTTTATTTGGACACGCCCACTAACTGAACAAAGGCAGATTATACTTGTATGCTAATAATGCTAATGCCACAGCCTGAGACACAGAGTCTTTTCATGGGCTGCTGGTGGGATCAGCATCCGTAATGTTGACAGCCCTTGGCTTGGTAATAATAGGGTCACACTTCCCATCTCTCTCTCTCTCTCTCTCTCTCTCTCTCTCTCTCTCGTTCTCTCTCTCGTGCTCTCTCTCTCTCTCTCTCACACTCTCTCACACACACACACACACACACACACACACACACACACACACACACTCACACACACACACGTGTATACACACACACACATATTCTCATACAAAAGGCTCTCATCTGTAGGGGTGTGGCTCCCCCTGTCATCCACTGTTTTTGTTTTCACTACTCTAGCCCTGCATGAACTCCTGTGTGTGTATACATGTGTTTGTGTGTATGTGCAGGCCTGCGCGCATGTGTGTGTTGGCTTACCAAGATGGCAGTGCTGTATTGATGCTAATTAGCTTAGCTTCTCCAGACAGAATGAACTCATTTACATTCGAGAAGCATCCTCAGATCTCAAAGCCCATTGGCTGGTAAAAGATGATGTCATCACTGATCTGATTGGCTCTGTAAACACCTTGTGAAGGAGGGGCAAATGAACAGGAGGAAGAGAGGAATAACGGAGGGAGGGAGGGGTGGAGGCTGAGAGAAAGCAGAGAAGGAGGTGAGAGAGCGTGAGAGGGAGAGAGAGGGAAAATGCCGACAGGCTGCAGGGTGGTGGTTCCTTTGGATCTCGTCATGTTTCCTTTGGAGTTTTTGTCACTGTGAGACCTGCTGTCATGTGAGCGTTGGCTTGGGCGTTGCCTCGGATACGAGAGAGAGAGGGAGAGGCGCTCACCGTCAGGCATGAGGCGCCTCATCTGCAAACGCATCTGTGACTGTGAGTGATCCTTTGATGCACCTTCAGGGTGTGTATCCTTCTGTATGTACGTTAGCAGCGAAAGTCTTGAGTGCATATCGATCTTGAATGTAGAATAGGGTGTTGTCTGGTGTTTGTTGCCATGGAGATTTATTTTTTTTCTAGAGCTAAGCGCTGGTTGTCTAAGCTACGGGATGTCTGCATTCCGCTAGCTGTGTGTTTGCCTGGCACAGGCTGTGTGTGTAGGTGTGTGGGTGGATGTGGGGGTTGTTTTGAGATATGGAGGCAGTTCTCTTTGTTTAGCTCTGCATGAGTATGAGAGTGAAGTGTAAATTATAAGTAGCATTTTAGCCAGCAGCCTTTCTTGGACTGAGATTGTTTGGCTTTAACAAGGGCTGGACTAGAAATTGACCATGACCGTTATTGTCATGCTGCTGTTTGTTCTCCAGTAATCAATAAAGCCTTCAAGTTATTATTTATTCTAGGCATTCTGAAGGATCTTCTTATGTTTCTTTTTCATACGGTGTCAAATCGATAAATTACTGAGATCAGAAATAGTTAGCTCATTCGCTCTCTAGTAGTCTTCATCTGTTGCTGTAATGGAGCTCATATTGAAGCTTGAGGGTTTAGTTCACTTCAGTGAATTGATATCTCAGCTTGGTTTAGATTGTGGCCTGTTTTTAAGTCTGTGTAAAGCTGCTTTCTGTGTTGATGTTTGACAGTTTATCTCTTTTTCTTTCTCAGATCGCAGCTTTGATGATGACGACTCGGTGGATGGTAGCCGTCCCTCCTCGGCTCAGGCAGCTTTCAAAGTGCCGAAGGTGCCGAAGAAACCTGGAGACTCGGCCAGCAGCTCCAGGAGACCCAGTGCTACAGGAGCCGCCAAAACGAGTAAGCGACAGAGTTTCCGTAGGACACACACAGTGATAAGCTGCGGTGGCAGTAGCTTAGCAGTCAGAGGTATGTGCCAGTGTCCAGAAGGTTGTAAATGCCATGACTGGCGGGGGACTCGTTGGAGTGGACTGCAGTCACAAAGGGGCCAGTGCCACTGTGCTCATGTTCTTCTGCTGATGGAGCTTTCAGTGGAGTTTGTAAACTTGTCCAGGAGCCTGCATAGTGATGCAGGCCTGGTCTATGCTTCATGAGCAAAGTGTCCTCTGGCAGCTGGAGAGCCATTTCTGTTTCAGCAACAAGTCATGCCATCTTTATAGCAATGCCATCACACCTCTTTTGTTTTCCTGAAAACAAAGCCTGTATTTTCAGTGATGAAATAATAGATATGGTTTAGAAGGGGGAAATTTCATCCTTTAATAGAAGGTATAGTGAAAAACTTTCCTCAACATCCTCTCAGGCTTGTCTTTACAGTTCAAGTAAGCAAATATTTGCAACACCTCACACACACAAGGTGCTACTCGTTCACTTGCCAGTTGCAGTTGCAGAACGCACATGACCTTGTGAATTTCAGCAAATGCTCAGCTCTGCCAGTGACCCTCTAGAAAGAACTGAAAAATGATTAAAACTATCACTGTTTATATGTGGTGTATTGACTCAGTTAGTGTACAAGTGTATGATGTATTTGGTTTATGATATAGGCCAGGTTTGGTTTTGTCTGTATTTTGCTAATGACAAATGCTTACATCCATATTTAATATAAAAGACGAATGTGCAGTAAAGCCATAGGCCCTGTTTCTGTACTGTTTCTAATGATTGAGGTCAATATGACAGCAGTATGGACAAATCTGGCTTTTGTAGTACGTGGATGACCAAATTAAATTAAAAGTTCTATGGGGTTAAGGGTGCGACAATTGCAATACAGAATGTAAAATGGTATCTCTGATTCGTCCCTCTGTGTCTTCTAAGAGTCTCTCGTTCGCTGTCTTTTGTGAAAACTAGTGTCCGTGATCATAAAAATGGTAGAGGTCTGCACAGGCGTGAAATTGAACTGCAGACTCAACCCATTCCTGCAAGCCTGATGCTGTACATGAAAAATTGGGACGAGTACCTTATGTTTTGTTGGGTCTCCTTGGGATTAGGTCACATAGTAGACCTTTAAACTAAGCATCTGGGTGTATCCTATCATAAAAAAGTGGACAAGGGCTTGTGCTAAGTACTCACTCATGCTCAAATGAGTTTTTTAAAAGTGGAAAACCGAAAAATGAATCTTGACCACAGAATTGAAAATAGCAATGAGCATGAACATAGGCATATTGGTACACCCCTAAGTGATCCCTCCAGTTTTTCTCTTTATCGATTTAAAGAATGCTGTTATGTATGGAAATTAATAAAAAAAAAGTACTCAATTTACTCAAAGTGTGAGGTGATCGATGTGTGTATGAGGTCTAATATCTTCTGATTGGTTATTGGCGGAATGAATAGTTCTTACAGGAGAACCTTAAGTATAACATAGTGTTGTGCAGGTGATTGGAAGTCTTTGTTGAGTGCTAGAGTAATCAGGTCCTGTCAGACTCAGTCACCTGCGTACATGATGTAGTGTTTCAGTAAAAGGGCTGCAAGAGCAGTGGATGGAAGCTGATGTTCTGTTGCTTGATACACATACTTTCCAAAAGTAACTGAATCAGTCAACAGCAATTCCCTGCAGAGCTGCTCCTGGTGACAGGCAGTTTCATCAAGAGCTCCATGATGCAGCAGTGCTGCTACTGTTACAGTAAACGCAGAGCATTCTGGCTTTCCAAGACTAAAGAGAAAAGGTGGAATAGCTCAAACATAGCTCTGTAGAGCAGTGGAGAAATAAATACACCCCTAAGTCACAGTCTTAAGGACATTTCAGAGAAGATTCGTTGAATAATTGTCTCCAGGACTTCCCAACAGGTGAATCAGTGATGAATTGAATCAGTTAATTGTATCCTGTTGTCCTACAGTACTCAAAGACAGAGGTTTTATGCTTGTGCTGATAAATTGCTGATCAGCTATGTGAACTGCTTTTTTACGGCTTTTGATCAAATTTACACAGCCTGTGTGGAAAGTGAGAAGCCGCTAATGGTTTTCTGCAGTAATTATGTAAAGAAATATTCAGTATTTTCTTTTTAAATCAAATTACACAATTTTTTCTGTTCACTGTACCTAGCATTCACAAAATAGTCTGGCCACCGCAAAAAGTGAAAATCAAAATCTGAATTTATTGTGACCTTTAAGCACTCAGAAAAATAAGTAAAAATGTGGTGGTTTTGAAAATGTATGTTACAGCTTAAACAGCCCAAAGCAGTCTGTGTAGCTAATAAGTCTAATGTGGTATTATTGCTGCATGAGCACAGTGTGTTATGAATGGAGGCCAGTGTTCAGCTCAGGATATTTCTCCATCCTTGCTGACCTTATCAGACTTGTGTGTGGAATGCCTGAGGGCAAAACACCCCAGTGGCCATATGGCCACCTGCTTGCATTCTTTTGCTCAGCAAAAGATGCTAAGGGTGGTGTGCTGCAAGAGGAAAGGGCAAGGAAAGGAAATACTTTTACAGTATTCAGATTTAATTGGGTTGGTTGGAGATTATAAAGAATGAGAAGATTTTCCTTCTTGTATTTGGTTGCTTTGACACATTTCTGAGTGTGGTTTGCACTGCAGATGTTCTCAAGCCCAGGAAGCTTCTGCAGTTAAATAATAACCTTTAAGTTTGCTACTCTAGTCTCTAATATCAGCAGTTTCAGCAGAGAGTGATGTTTTTGCTTACACTGAGAGGCTGTCTTTGTACTTCAGTGGTGGGGGGAAAAAAGGTCCTTCTGAACTTTCCTGACACAGGGTTCCCTCAGGTTTGATGAGCAAGGCCCTGAAGCTGATGTTTGTTGATTTCTCACTTTTTAGCCCATCCCCCTGTGGGGGTGCCCCTCCCATCCCCACTCAGGGGCTGCCAACCCTCGGGACCTGTGATTGACAGCCTGATAGTGTGCCGACAGGATGTCCATTACGACTCAAAGCTCTGTGTGTGCGTGCGTGTATGCACTTATGCCTTTGGTGGCGCAGAGTTTTGGCACTTTTGAAATGAGCAGTGCTTGCAAATAGGCATTGAATATGTAGAAATATGGTGTTGGCTTAAATCAGATTACAGAGGATTAAGTCTTTATTTGAAGTGTTTTACCCCAGAAGTTATGTAACACATTGCAGCACATTATTGACAATGACAAAAACCTCCAGCCCCCCACATATGACACACACAGACTCACACACATAATAGAGGGAACCCCTCCCTTTGCCTGGCAATGCAGTGGTTTCCATAGGAACAGCTCAGTGTGCTCAGTTGCTATGGAAACAGTCGTAACTGTCAGTCACTTCTCTCTTAGTGACCATGATTCAAAAATGAGTCTTCCTTTAAGAGAGGGCACATACATAAAATAACACTAATACTGAATTTCTGTCTGTGAGCGTGTAATTTTGCGCGTGTTTATTTGAATCCACTGTGTGTGTTCTGTTTAGGTGGGTCTAAAGAGGGAGCCGGCGCTGTAGATGAGGAGGACTTCATTAAAGCATTCACAGATGTTCCTACTGTTCAGGTAACCTGCACACATAATGAAGTTGTACTTACACAAGAACGGAAAAACATGCACAGCTTTTTAAACAAATTTTATCATGTCATACATTTTTTGTATCAAAAGATGTCTCATCTAAAGGTATATGAAATGTGATTTTGGTCCCTCTCCCTCTCTGCATAGATCTACTCCACACGGGATCTGGAGGATAATCTAAACAAGATCCGAGAGATTTGCTCTGATGATAAACATGACTGGGATCAGAGAGCTAATGCAGTGAGTCTTATACTCACAAACATGCTTACACATCTGGTTCTCATTAGTATAGAAAGATTTGTAGACACAAATGCACACATACAGATGCTCACGCTTTGTAATCTCTGACCTGCTGGCTGTGATTATTCAAGCATTTTTACACTACTGACTGAATGGGCACAAATGCGCACAGGCAGGCTTCCACACTTGTGGAAACTCCATATTGATGCCCATTGTTTTGGGATGGGATGTCTGACAAGCTCGTATAATGTGCCTTGTAAAAGTATCCAACCCCCTTAAGTCATCAGGTTCATCTGGATTACAAATGATTAAGACCCCTTAATTCAAGTACCACTGATCAGACTGCGAATCAGAGGAAAAAGTATGAAGATTAAAGGCATTCTCAGGCCATCAGAGATAAAGTTATAGACATGCACAAGATCGGAAGAGGCTACAAAATAGTATCCAAGTGTTTAAATGTCCCAGTGAGCACTGTTAGATCAATTGTGAGGTAATTGAAGTGGCATCATACCACCCAGGCGCTGCCTAGACAAGGCCAAACTTCAAGCTCAGCATCAGAGAAAGAAGGGGACTTGTGGGGGAAGCCACAGAGAGGCCAACAATCGCTTTAAAGAAGCTAAAGAGTTCAGTGCCTGAGACTGGAGTGAAGGTGCACCAGTCAACAATATCAAGAGCTCCACACCCAATTGACCTGTATGTCAGGGTGGCAAAAAAGAGAGGTCGAACAACAAAATGGTTAATGTTATACAGTGGCCATGTGCAATACATGATATTCTGACAAATTATAAATTTTGAATTTGAAAATTGAAAATTTATTTTAAGAGCATATTGGTTTGCAATAAAAAATACTGGCTGAAACAATCCGTATAATTGTTGAAAACCTTTGCTAGGCAACTGGAGGTGTGAGGGTCGGGTGTCCACATACCTTTGGCTGCATGTACATGAGAGATTTCGGAAATTGACATTGACCTAGAATTCCCATGTTGCTGCGTCCTTACTGTAAATATAAAAAAACTACTTCAAACATTCTTACACATCTCATACACATCAAGACTTTTCATAGAATTGTTATATGGCTTTGTCTTGCACTTAAATGCACTGAATAGTAAGAACCTGTAGTAGCTTACCACTAACCCACCCTTTCAAAATGGCTCTCCACTCTCAAGGACAAGGGTAGGCTAGATGGTAGGTGGGGCATCTTTTATACAATGTCACCAAGTTCCCATGAGAAAATCTTACGCAGATTAGAAGTTTCAGGACATACCCCTGAGAGCAGCAGTCCAGACTGAGGTCATGCTTCTATTGTCAGAGACTATCATTGACTGTTTTGGGAGTTTTGTGGTGTTGAGCTTTTGATACTGATGCACTGAAATATTTTAGCTTGTCAGCTTGCATAAAATAGTTTTTCAGCTTTGCTGTTGTTACTGTATTTGATTACCATTTGGTTAGCTGTTTGGTTGCATCTGTCTGCCTGTGGGCTCCACTTTGTCTGGAAGAAAAAAACCCTCTGTTCCTTTTATTTGCACATTCATATTTGTCCTTTTAACGTTTTGCAGTCTTTCATTCTTTCATTCTTTCACCCCTAGTTAAAGAAGATCCGCTCTCTGCTGGTTGCTGGGGCTAACAACTACGACTGCTTCTACCAGCACCTTCGGCTGCTGGATGGAGCATTTAAGCTGTCTGCTAAAGACTTGCGCTCCCAGGTGGTGCGAGAGGCCTGCATCACTGTGGCGTGAGTAACACACAGGCCTTACACTGAAGTGCTGAGTGGACACTCTGCTCAGCTTGTTCAGAACGTTTGTTTAGCTGCCTAATTAAGGGCCTCAAAATAGATGACAGCATCAGGCGATTGATTTTGCTTAAAAGTACCAAGTTGGAAAAACATGGCCTTTGTAGTTTGAATAATCGAATGCCAGCACTGAAAGATTTTGCTTTTTGACGAGGCAGCTGCATTTATATCAGTGCACTTTTTTAGTGTGTTTGTGTTTTTGTGTGTAGGCACCTGTCCACAGTGTTGGGGAATAAGTTTGATCATGGAGCAGAGGCTATTGTCCCTGTGTTGTTCAATCTCATCCCTAACTGTGCTAAGGTGATGGCCACTTCTGGCACGGCGGCAATCCGCATCATCATACGGGTGAGAAAACCTTTGTGCGTTTGTCTATAATAATGATAGTAGTAGTAATAATAATAATAGTAATAGTAATAATAATAATGTCTTATTTACATTGTACATGTATACATTAAATGCAGCTAAAATTGCCCCACAAATTAAAAATGTAAAAAAAGGGACATTCAATTTAAGTTAGACAACAGAAGGCTGTGGATAAAAGCAGAGACAAAAAAAAATCTTAAAAATGAATTAAACAAAATAAAATTTAAAAAGCTGATTCAATAGAGCAGCATAAAAAAGCATAGAATTAGCTGACTAAATGCCTAGGCAAAAAGGAAGGTGTTAAGTTTGATAGCACTACTGTTGTAATGTGATAGTAGTAGTAGTAGTAGTAGTAGAAATAATAACGATTAATGAATAATAATAATGATGATGATGATGATTAGTAATAATAATAAGACGAATAACAGTTGTTGTGTAGTACTGTTTATATATGAAATGCAGCACAAAGTACTTTATAAAATAAAATAAAAAGAGATGGATTTATGGTTACGTATATGAAGCTTACATATTTACAAAATGGATTTAGAGATAAATGTAAAAATTTATGTTTCTTAAAAATGAAGGAAGCAAAATACAATAAAAATATATTCAATAGACCACCATAAAACAAATAAAAGAATTAGCCATCTAGAGGCCTGAGGAAAAAGGAACGCCTGAAGTCCAATGGCACTTGTTGTAATAATAGTGACAATAATAACCGTAATAATATTAACAATAATAATAATACCTTTTGTAAGTTACTTTCTATGCATACTATGCAGCTCAAAGTGCTTCTCAAAATAAAAAGAGCACTAGGAGATACACGAGTACAAAATGGGCTGGGAGGTAAAAAAGAAAAAAAAGATTTTCAAGTTAAAAAGTAGAAAACAATGCAGAAATGTAGTACATCTTAAAATTAATTAAACAAAATAGAATTTTAAAAACTATATTATTATTGTTTTCTCATGTGATAGGAATGTGAGTGTTTGCAGTGGGGTTTTTGCTGATTTGGAATACTCTGACTGTGTGTGTTTTGTGTGCAGCACACTCATGTGCCACGGCTGATTCCTCTCATCACAGGGAACTGCACGTCTAAGTCTGTGGCTGTGAGGAGGTAAGACACAAGCTCCACCTCAACACTGCAGCTCAGCACTAATCTGATTCACACGTGCTCATTGCACTCTCTCTTTCTCTCTCCATCTTAGACGCTGTTATGAGTTCCTGGACCTGCTGCTGCAGGAGTGGCAGACACACTCACTAGAAAGGTATAAGGATCAGTGCCAAATTCTCAACAAGACAGTTGTGTTGAGAGCAACACTGTTAACAACAATGATGTTGTTTACTCTGAGCCATCTCATGCATCTTGGTCTGATTGGATAGCTGTCTGATCATGTGTAACATGATGCCAAGTGTATCTAAGACACGTTGCTATTCAATCACCCGAATCACTTGAGGAGGTGTTTTGTGATGCGTAGGAGACGCATCTGAACCAAGTGTAAATGTATTTGTTTTTATGAGCCACATACGTAATTTTTACTCCTCTCAAATGGAACTACATAAACAATGTGTACAAAGCTCATTAGTGAAATTAATCATGCACCACAAAGCAAACGCTACATACACTATATTGCCAAAAGTATTTGCTCGTCTGCCTTCACACGCATATGAACTTGAGTGACATGCCATTCTTAATCCATAGGGTTTAATATGATGTCGGCCCACCCTTTGCAGCTATAACAGCTTCAACTCTTCTGGGAAGGCTTTCCACATAGTTTAGGAGTGTGTTTATGGGGATTTTTGACCATACTTCCAGAAGCGCAATTGTGAGGTCAGACACTTATGTCGGACGAGAAGGCCTGGTTCACAGTCTCCGCTCTAATTCATCCCAAAGGTGTCCTGTCGGGTTGAGGTCAGGACTCTATGCAGGCCAGTCAAGTTCTTCCACACCAAACTCGCTCATCCATGTCTTTATGGACCTTGCTTTGTGCACTGGTGCACAGTCATGTTGGAACAGGAAGGGGCCATCCCCAAATTGTTCTCACAAAGTTGGGAGCATGAAATTGTCCCAAATCTCTTGGTCTGCTGAAGCATTAAGAGTTCCTTTCACTGGAACTAAGGGGCCGAGCCCAACCATAATCCCCCCTCCACCAAACTTTACACTTGGCACAATGCAGTCAAACAAGTACCGTTCTCCTGGCAACTGCCAAACCCAGACTCGTCCATCGGATTGCCAGACGGAGGAGCGTGATTCGTCGCCCCAGAGAACATGTCTTCACTGCTCTGGAGTCCAGTGGCAGCGCTTTACACCACTGCATTCGACGCTTTGCATTTCGCTTGGTGATGTAAGGCTTGGATGCAGCTGCTCGGCCATGGAAACCTATTCCATCAAGCTCTCTACGCACTGTTCTTGAGCTAATCTGAAGGCCACATGAAGTTTGGAGGTCTGTAGCGATTGACTCTGCAGAAAGTTGGCGACCTCTGCGCACTATGCGCCTCAGCATCCGCTGACCCCGCTCTGTCATTTTACGTGGCCTACCCCTTCGTGGCTGAGTTGCTGTCGTTCCCGATCACTTCCACTTTGTTATGATACCCCGACAGTTGACTGTGGAATATTCAGTAGCGAGGAAATTTCGCGACTGGACTTGTTGCACAGGTGGCATCCTATCACGGTACCACGCTGGAATTCACTGAGCTCCTGAGAGCGACCCATTCTTTCACAAATGTTTGTAGAAGCAGTCTGAATGCCTAGGTGCTCGGTTTTATACGCCTGTGGCCATGGAAGTGATTGGAACACCTGAATTCAATGATTTGGATGGATGAGTGAAAACTTCTGGCAATGTAGTGTACCACAGCTTCTGTCCCTTTTTATATTGGAAATGTAGTTAAAACTGGAGCTGGTTTCTCCTGCATAACTGCATAGAAGAAAATTTCTGTGGCCCTGAATCATCTCGAGGGAATTCTGGAAAAAGGAGAAAGTGGAGTGTAGATTAATCTTATCTGGACATTGTTGGGATATGAGACACATTAATCAACAAATGTAAAAAGGCTCAATGATAATAATAACCCTTTAGCAGATATGTACTTCTTTTTCTATGCATCACCCCAAGTTCTCTCTCACTCTTTGCCCTCTCTCTTTCTTTATCAGGCATGCTGCAGTTTTGGTGGAGAGCATAAAAAAGGGAATCAGAGATGCAGACTCAGAGGCTCGAGTGGAGGCCAGAAAGTGTGTGCTCCCCTCATGTACAGAAACATACACACAATAGAAATGATATCCACTTCCTGGCTCTGGGTTAATGTATCCGTATTGATTTGTCCATCTCTTAGGGCGTACTGGGGGCTGCGGGCTCACTTCCCTGGGGAGGCGGAGTCTCTCTATAACTCATTAGAACCGTCCTATCAGAAGACACTCCAGTCGTGTCTGAAAAGCTCAGGCAGCGTAGCGTCACTGCCACAGTCTGATCGCTCTTCTTCGAGCTCCCAGGAGAGCCTCAAGTAAGAAGCACATTCATACACACATGCATCTTGCTGCAAACGTAACACAACTGCTTATAACTTTATAAATTTACATTTTGAATTGGCAATCACTGTACAGTCTGTATGGTAGCCTTTGATGCTACTTGTGTTCTTACATGTGTTTTTTCATCTCTCTAGTCGGCCGTTGTCATCAAAATGGTCAGCTGCTCCAGGCAGAGGTGAGGTTTGAGTGCGTGTATTTTATGTATTATCCCCAAGAAACTACTAAAAATGGCGCAGAAGATCTTTAAACCTCAACAGTCAATGAGAATGTGATGAATATCACGTCCCAGATGTTTACAGACTGTTGTTAAAAGAAGAGGGGATGCTATTCAATGGTAGACATGGCCCTGTCCCAACTTTTTTGACGTGTTTTTGACTAGTTTTAAATGAGTTAATGTTTTTCACGAAATGGTAAAATGTCTCACTTGCAATATCTGATATCTGTTCTATGTTCTACTGTGAATAAAATATGGGTCTATGAGATTCGCATATCATTGCATTCTGTTTTCTTTACATCTCTTTACATTTTATAGAGCGTCCCAACTTTTTTGGAATTGGAGTTGTACAATAAGAATGCAGGATGTTGGCCTTTTAACATTAACTGTTCCATTTAAAGTCCTTTGCTGATGAAAATGAATGTAATGTAGGTTATAATTTTTGTGGTTTGAATAAAAAGATCAAGCTTACGAATTCTGTTCAGAGAAACAACTACCAACATAACGTGTTAATGCTAATTTGAAATATTCAAGCCAGCCCTAGGGAATATGATTGGTTATAATTTACTCGTTTTACGTTGAAATGTCAGTATGTTATATATGACTGCTTGTGATTTTATGAAAGCGTTTGTAAGTCTGTGTAATCTGCGTAGTGCCTAACTTTTTTGCCTGTGTGTACATATGTGTATGTGTTCCTCAGTTCCAGCCAGCTCCAAGTCATCGGGCTCCCCAGGCTCTCTGCAGCGATCACGGAGTGATGTGGATGTGAATGCAGCAGCTGGAGCTAAGGCAAGACACAGTGGGCAGGCGGGAGGAGCCGGGCGCCTCACCACAGCGCTGCCCCCAGGCTCATACGCCTCCCTAGGTATGTGCAGATACACACCTAGAAAAAGCTCCTCAAAATGACTTGCCCTGAATGTGTAAGACAAAAAGTAGCACTATTGGGTCAGCTCTCTATCTCGTCCGCCTCACAACCTGGCACACAGCCCTCTTTTTATTTATTTATTTTTTTTTTTTTCTTCCTCTTGAACTTAGTCCCTCACTTAATCCTAAGTGATCTGAAGAATACCAGAATTCTTCAGTTTCTTTTTGTGTGTGCGCATGTTGGAATTATGTGTGTCCGTGTGTATGCACTCTTCTTTCTAACTGGTTTGCTGTGCTCCTCTCTTTCTTCTCTCTGGCCTAAAGATGATTCTTCTGATAAGGATGGTAAGATCATCCGAGTTCAACCCATCCATCCCCATTAGCTTGTCTGTCTTTTAGGGCTGGCCTGAACAGCAGTTTATAGGCTTCGAATGCTGGTTGAATTTTCAGAACGAATACTCAAATACTTGTTCTCAAAATCACCCTAAAACACTGTAATACTTGATTTTAAGTTGTCTTTCTGACAGCACAGATCTACTTCTATTTCAGTAACTGTTTCTTGCCGTACCAGCTGCGCTCAAAGCGTCTTGCATCCATCAAAACATAAGCCCTTCTGGAGTGTCTTTTTCTCCCTCCATTTACACTTACGCTAAGCATAATGCATAATCTCTATAAAGATCCTGTCCAATCACACACTCTTAGAACTAGTGTTGTAAACTATATTTAAAATAATACTTTGCTAAAATATCATGATCTCATTGGTGTGGTACTTGTAGCTCATGTGCTGTGCTATGTGGAGGAGTTTCTTCTCTGATACAGCAGTAACCTATCTGACAAAACAGGTCTACTGTTTGGGCTGTCAAGCTTTAAACATGAGAACCAGTTAAAATGATTAGACATAAAAAAAAGAAAAAAAAGAACAGATGTGGTTCAGTCAGAGGCAATGTGGATTTAGACGCATGGCGGGGGTCACATATCATACTAGTCATCTCCATGGTATACAAACCTCCTGCCACACATTTGCACTGAGCATTTTTCTTATCATCCAGTAATTTAATGTGCTGCCACACATGATTTCTTTCAGAGGCATCTCTTTCAGCTTTAATGGCCCTGTAAAAATCGGTGCAGTTTGTTGTGTTCTGAGACCAGCTTACATGGATTTAACATGTATTCAACTAAACCAACTGTGATTAGGGATGCGTGATATATTGGTAGACCTGTGTACCATGATGTTGCTTTTCTGTTTGAATGATAATTTTAGCCACATATTTGGTAGCTACAAGCATTTCATGCATAATATAATGGCTGGTGTTCCTGTTGGTTCCTCTTTATTTTTTTAATTTTAATCAGTGTAAGCAAATCAATTCGATTTAACTTTGCTTTACTCATCATTCAGGCTAATGTGTTAGCCCCAAGCTAACGTTCTAACCACAAGCTAATATGATAGCCCTGATACCTCAAAATACAGCTCAATTTGTTTCAATACAGTTTATATGCTACAAGCCTTTGTGCAACCTTGATATTAAAAAGTATTTACTTTTAGCATTTTCCATATATTAACAATAACTATTCTGTATTGACTGAGGAGACATAATTTATATGACTTTAAAAAGAAAAACAGCTTTCAAATACTGAAAAGAGAAATGAATACCAAAAAAATGAACAAGTACTCGAGTATTGCAATTATTCAGGCCAGCCCTACTGTTGTTCCTCTTTCTTCATCTTTCCCTGTGATTTTTCTGCCTTTTTCACACTTTGTCCATTCATCTCCTAATGTCCTCCTGCTCTTCTTTGGGTTGCTCATCCCTACACTAGAGAAGTAGAGTCATCCTCATCCCACAGACACCCTGACAAGGAGACGTACAAACACATGCACACACTCGCAGAGGTACTACCTCTTTGAGAAGGGTGTTATTCTCATAGTTGGGACCTCTGTGACTCTTTAGTTTACACAATTTGAGGTTTTGGCAAGTACATATCTCAGAACCATGATACACCTTCCATAGTACCTCCTATTTGTGGTGTTGCTGCACTCTGTTGGTGAGAAGTGGTACTGCAGGCTCTGGCTTCAGACTGTGACTTGTGTGTTACCTTCAGCTGTTGTAGCTGGAAGTCCCTTTGCATCCTTCATTCTTCTGGTGTTTTCTACATCAAACCTACTTAAGCTTGCCACTAATTATCAATCTTTCACATGTCTTAATCTCTAATGCGTGCAATGTGCAGATAAGCATATTTTCATGTACTGGAGTGAATGGATGAATGGGTGTTCGAAAGAGAACGGAGGAAATATAGGGTCATTATCCACTTTATTAGGTATACGTTGCATCTATTCTTATTGTCCATTAGATCAGGTCCACTCATAATTTAGGTGCATTTTGTAGTTGTACAGTTTCAGACCGTAATTCATCTGTTACTCTGCGTAATTTGTTAGCCCATCGTTACCCAGTTCATCCGTGGTCAGGACCCCCACAGGACCACCACAGAGCATGTATTTTGTGGATGGTGGATCATTCTCAGCAATGCAGTGACACTGACATGGTGGTGGTGTGTTAGTGTTTAAAAACTCCAGCAACACTGCTGTCTGTGATCCACACCTGCTCAGTGGTGGGTCTGTGGGGGTCCTGATCATAAATGAACCGGATAAAAGAGGGCTAACAAATTATGCAGGGAAACAGATGGACTGCATTCTGTAATAGCAGAACTACATATTGCATCCATGTTGTCTGTATGGAAAAAGGACATGGTAAAATGGACAGTAGATGTAGACACATCTAGGTGTACCCATTAAAGTTGCCAGTAAGTGTATAATCTTAGATGAATTCTGTCTGAAGTTGAACCCTGAAAGGTAAAAGTGTCTGTGCGTTTCCAGGGCGACTACGCACCAAGCAACCATTATCGACACCATCAGGAGTGGGCAGCAGTCAAGTGGACTCCAGGGGACGGAGCCGAACAAAGATGGTATCTCAGTCCCAGCGTAAGTATATATGCACACAGACCCACCCATAAGATGCTCACAAAAACCCCATGCAAGCCTCTACACTCTCGTTTAGCATTGCACCGCGCATGCATACACTAACCATTACACACCCACAGCTGTCACTCATCGTAGTCTTAAGACTCAGCATTGCAGATCCCCTGTGTATTCTCACAACAACGTTTATACGTGACATGCGCGTTGTTTAATATTTTTATTCTAGACCAGTACAGTGCTGGGCAACAAGTATTCAGTCACTTCTGTTTTTATTAGTTGATATTCTTCCAGTGCATACATGTAATGGCATACACATAATGGCTTTTGACTTTGTACTTACTGCCTTTTGTGTGAACAAAATGTTTGTGTTTGTAAGCATGAAAAATTAAATTGATAGGAGGGAAAATTATTTTGACACTATATAAAAACAATTATATATGTTAAGTTTATATAAAAAGATAAACTTTAAGTTTTAGATTTTAATGGTGTGCAATGCAAGATTTTGCAATGTGCTCTCAGACTAATGATAAGGAGGGTAAGAGAGAAGCCAGTAGTCACTTGAAAAGGATGACCTCAATGCAGCAGAAACAACAGTTACACATACAAGAATAAGCACTGATCTGCTCCACAGTTGTCTCTGTTTCTACACCCCACACAAAACTCAAATCTTATAATTCAGCTTGTCATGTTAAGAGAAAGAACAGGGGGTTGCATGTATGATCCCAAAAAAACCATACCCACAGTGAAGTACAGAGGTGGGAGCATCATGAAATGGGGTTGCTTCTGTGCAAATAGTGCTGGGGCATTACACATCATTGTAGGAAACATGAATGAAGTGATGTTTCAGGAAATATTAGAGTTATGTTTAATCAGCAAAGAAATGTGGAAATGACTTAAGCCAATCTCCATACTTAAATTTCACAAAAAATTTATGGAGAATTTTTAAATTGCGAGTCTGTCAGAAGACAGAACCCCAAAATGTTCATGAATTTGTACTTTTTGTTTGTATTTGTAAGTATAAAGTCAAAAATGTGTGTAAATTTGAATAGGATATATGCTGTGGAAATATGTAAAATAACAAACAAATGTCTGATTTCTTTTTTTCCTTGCACTGTAATCCATGCTCCAGTTTATCGCACACTCTTACAGCTACCCACATAATTTTGCACAATACACAATATGCACGTGTACACACTTATTCCTACCCTTAGATCCACTGTCTGTTTAAGACTGTGTAGAGCACAGTGTGTGTCTGGAATCATCCTGCTCTCAGGATGTAACGCACAGCTCCTTCAACTGTTTCTGTGCCTCTAGGTTCCGACGATTCTGATTGCACGCCAGGTACCCTCGTCTGACGTGTTGGCGAGAGTGTTAGTGTGTGAGAGTGTGTGTGTGTTCAGTACCCTGCATGCTTTGTGGTATTCACTTGGGTGTGTTAGTGAGTCCATTTCTGCCTGCAGGACAATCAAGAACCAACTACACTCTTAAAAAGCACACACAAATTCTCTTGTATGTGTGAGAGAGAGAGAGAGAGACATTGCTGACAGAATGCTGAATAAAAGAAAGAAAAAATCTAAACTAAAGGAAGAATTAGTGTCACAAAGTGTGTGAAGTGTGTTAAGAATTTCATCTGTTCATTTCTGTCTTCATGGTGGTTGAACGTTTTTGCAGCTTACTGTGGAACTATTGCAGTGTGCAGTGCTGTTCGGCGGCTTTTCAAATCTGTGTGCGCCTCACATTGCCCTCTTTATTTGCGGACCAATGTTTTGTGCATTCATATCTGCGTTGGGACAATCAGGCCACCTGCATGTTTTTTTAAATCCCATAACGCATTGCATCTTTTTAATGTGCTTTTCCTCCTCCTACCCAATGGGCCTCCCGGCCCCTCCCCTCTCTACAATTCTGCCCCTTCATTGGCTCAGGATCTCAGTCTGCTACCCCTGTCGGTGGTAAGAGTTTCCACATATTTTGCTAGTCACTCAAAATGTGTCCCTTTCCACACATTTCCCTGGGCTCCACCCTCTTCTCCAGCATATTTTCTCTTTGTGGTTGATGAAGACACTGACTTTCATATCAACACCCCCCACCCCCACTCTACTTGCTGCATGTAGAGTGTAAAGCTTCCCTGCTTGGCTCACTATGGGTGCTTTTTTCCTGCTTAAACTTTTGAAAATGTAATTTTTATTTGGTTTAATCCCACAACTGTTGGTTTAGAAGTTGTTTTTCATTAAGATTGAAAGATCTGATGCAGAGAAAAGTGTGGAGGAGTTTGTGTTTGTCTTCTTCAGTAGGCCTAATAGAAACCTTTTCTGCTGTTCAGTGGCAGCACTTCATTCTTCCTGTTTGGTGACACTTTATACTGTTTTTTTCCCTCTTTGTGTCTGTTAGTAGATTCTTGTGCAAGCTCCATTTTAGGCATATGGACAAAAACCTCGCTCTAGAAGATTCCTGAAATATTCAATACAAATGTTTCTCTACTTGTTTAGAGGGCTGAATCAGTAATAAAGGTTTGAATTTGGCTTTCAGGTCACCAGTTACTCATAGTTGCTCTGTTTGTGCTGTTTGATAGTATGTGTCGGAATAGTGTTTGTTTGTTCCTTGTTTGTCTTTTTGTTTTTTTTTTTTAGTGAAAATACTGGTCTCATCCTTCTCTTTTCCCTTTCCTTCCCTTTAGCGGGCTCTCGTTCTGGCTCTCCTGGCCGCGTATTAGCAAGCACAGCTTTGAGCACACTCAGTACAGGTGCACAACGGGTGAGTGCAGTTCCAAGCTCCCACCGCCGCAGCAGGATCCCCCGCAGTCAGGGCTGCAGCCGTGACTCTAGCCCAACACGCCTGTCTGTGGGTAAGCACCAGCTTCACTCTGTGTCTACCTTTAGATTGTTACTGCCACAAGCTAATTTCACTTGGCAAATCAAACATGAAATATGATGATTGTGTTTTAATAAACATATACCAGATTCTGTTCACGTGTCATCACTTCACATGTGTCAGTTTCAGTGTCAAATGTTTTCTGTTTTGGTGCTTTTGTCATTCTAGCATTTGCATTGTCGGCCTGAATTGTGTTTGTTTTTTTTTATTGTCTGGCTGTATGTTTTTGTTGAGTGTAGAAGCAGGGTGAAGGTAGCATACAGCAAATCATAATCTTACCAATCTTAAAATGTGCTTTTTCAATCAAAGCGCCGTCAAACATTGGCCACATGTACAATGGATCAAAAGGAGGTACGTTTTCTATCCTTCTTTCCATCATCCATCCCATCCCAATAATCCATTTGTCTGTCTGAGCACTGACTGTCATCGCAATACTTTTTACTGGCGATTGGGCTGTATTACGTGCTTCGGAGAAGCTGGGCTTGCTCTCACAATAACCTGCTGATCCACATAGTGCTTTTGCTGTGATGTTAACAAGGTGTTTTTGTGCTTAATGGTGTGCCAAATCCCAAGAATGAAGATTTAGATGAAAATTAGAGCTGTAACACAGTAAACTACAGTTCCTTCATGCCTTTAACTGTTTATCTCTTCTGTCTTATCTGTCGTTTCCCACACTTCCTTGTCTAATTCAGTGCTTGAATAGCATGCATGTATTATCAGTATCGAAAACGCATTCATACTTCTGCTTCCTGGAATACCTATGTTGATGTAAATGTTGAAAATGTAAGTGATCTCTGTGGTGTTCCTCAGGGTTTCAGATTAGGACCACTATATTTGTCAGTTGTAGCTACTCTTGCTTTATTTCATTGCTTTACTGTTGTGTTTGTGAATCTTATATCTATTCTTTCTTTTTCTTGTTCTACCTTTTATTTCTTCTTTTATATTTGTATAATCTTTGTATCTTCATGCCTGTCCTTCCCTGTTTTTCTCGTTCTTGTTTGTATCGCCTTTTTCTCGGTCTCCTTTCTTGGGGTGGGGCAGCGCGGGGTAGTCGTATACCACGGCCTAGTGTGAGTCAGGGCTGCAGTCGCGAGGCCAGTCGAGAGAGCAGCAGAGACACCAGCCCTGTGCGCTCCTTCACACCGCTTGGTGAGTAGCCACGGCAAGTGGTACATAAAACGGAATCAGCCATATAGCTGTGGCCCAGGGGACTCTGTAAGGTCTTGTTGTTTTGATTGAGTGACAGCAGATGTAGTTAAAAATCTTGGAATGGAAATTTGTGCATGTGTGCTACTCTTTACCTCTTTGAAACGGTTTTGCCTCATAGTGCACCTGAACTTGGCTTGGTTTTCTCTCACTGCTTGCTTTATATGGATCAAACCCCATGGCCCAATCTTTGATGACTGAGGTATTTTAATGGCATGCATGGAATCAGCCAAGATTGGTATTTTGCTCCAATTGTGCGATTGGCAATCTGCCAGTTTGTTAATTTGATTTTGGCCAATCTGTGTTGCAATTTTATGACGTAAAGAACATGAGCCACGTAAATGCACTTAAACTGTCTTTGAATGCTGCTGCTACACCTATAATAAATGCTGCAGTGGAATTATGCATTACTTATCATGCTAAATGGCCAGTTGTGTCTTTTTTTTTTTTCTTAGGCAACTGATTATTCAGTTAAGAATTTAAAATGTCAGTTTGGCCCATTTCAAAGCATTGCTACTTTGGCTGAGAGATAGTACTGGAAAAGTGCTAGTGTGTTTCATGTTTTTCGTTTAGCCCACACATTGTGAGCTTCGGGTTAAAATAAAAATGCAAATAACTCTAACAATCTAAATCAGCCATAAAAATTCATGGTTGGTGCATCCTTACTTGATTGATTCATAGTACATTTTAATAGAACTGCGATTCTGATCATGTAGTAGGCATGGTTCACTGGGGTCACCATCAAGAAGACATCATTGCTTGCTGGCTTTCCAGTTTTGCTTCGTGTCATGTTGCGGATGCTGAAAGATGATGACACAAGCAGCATTTAAGATGATATTCCTGCCTTGCTCCCTAGAGAGAAAGCTTTTGAAACAAAACCTAAGACAACAGTATGTGTACATTTCCTTTTTTCTGTCAATTGGTGACAACTACCCTTTTGTTAAAATTACAATTGATTGCATATGAAGAACTGATTATATAGTTTAAAATACATTTGTTTTTAATTATCTTAACATTTTTGACAGATTTTCCCTGTGATTTTTCAAAAGCATGTGACCCAGTCACTGCCTTCATCACATGTAATTATTTTAATGGGATCAAGCTCCATATGAAATTCTGTAGAGAGCTGATCATATTAACAGAAATGGACTTTAACCTTTGGGCACTGTTGCGTAAAACGTATCACAAAGGCTGGTGGGTGGTGGTGATGGTGGTTTCTCTGGTGGGCTCTAACACTGGCTTGGTTATGCGTGTGTGTGTGTATGTGTGTGTTACAGCTTCGCGGCACTACTCTCGCTCTACTGGTGCTCTCCACGCCCCAGATGCCTTTGGGGCAGCAGGTGAACTGTGACCCCCAGGCTCCCAAGGCCTTATTTAAAAGCAAAAATACATACATATGCGCGATTTTAATACTTGTTTCATCCAACCATTCTGCTTCTTTCAGTTTTGCTTTCATTGGACCTGCATGCTTTAAGTTTAGTCTCCATAACAACTGTTCTTCCCATCTCCTAGGTGACCGCTGTGATAACACACTCCAGCAAACAGCCACAAATGTGGAAATAGACACAACTGAAGAATCCATTAAAATCATAATTGGAAGCAATTAGAGGAGAAACAGACACTTAGGAGCAGTGACAGATGACATCAGGATAAGAGTTGGGAGGGACAGGGAGAGTTTAAATGAGTGCAAGCGAGAAAGGTCTTCTGCATTTGAAGCTTTTTGCTGTCGGTTCATTTAGACTCATTAGTAAAACATTTGTGTTCAGACTGTTACCACCAGTGATTTTCCTGCATTCTAACCCAAGTTTTATGTATTTTGCTTTATGTTTATGTATTTTGCACCCAGTTTGTTTGTTTGTTTATTTGTTTATTTTTTGGTCTGTGGTCACAGAAATGTTATTGATGGTGATAGGTTTTATGTTTTTTGTTTTTGTTTTTTTTTTTTAATTCATTGATTATGTGGTGATGTGAACATACTATATTTAATGTAGTTGTTGTGTGTAATGGTAATATGTATATGGTACATGTGTTTCAGGTTCAGGATTGGGGATGTCTCAGTCCAGTCGTCTTTCTTCCTCTGTCAGTGCCATGAGAGTGTTAAACACTGGATCAGACGTAGAGGAGGCTCTTGCTGATGCACTGGTAATCATTCACCTTCTTTCTATTTCTAATCCACATACAGTACTGTGCAAAAAATACTGTGCAGCACTGTTCATTTATTTAATTTCCAGTTAAAACTGCCATAAATACAAGTTATCTGTGCCATAAAGAACGAGAGACCTATATTTAAGAGAGAAATTCTCCAAACGTCTCCAAAACATATATGTATAATATCAAATCTGTACGTATTTAATTTGTCCATTCTTAATTTTTGTGCATTCTACTGCCACTTTAGATCTTCCATCCTTCCAATCTTAAAACCAGAGAGTTACAGCTGGGTCCTCCCAAAAGAGGCTTTTCTCAGAAGTCACTGACATTGTTACCCTTCAGAGAGATACCAACATTCACGCAAACAGCTAACCAAACACACCTTAGCTGGCTTGCACATGTCCTCATGTGCATCTAAAATGCCTCAATGAAATATTTTTCTGTGCAGATTAGATATAAGATCTTTAACTTTCATTAGAAAAGGGGAAAATTGAAGGAAAGTAACTGGAGTTTCCAAAACAGTAGTTCAAAAAACTATTAAAAGAAGTAGAGAAAATGGGACTCCTAGCAACCATTCAAATCCTCTTAGCCCACCAAAACTCTCACTATCAGTTAAACAGTACTTGAAAGCTTTTTGGGAGAAATTCAGGCTCCACTTTGCTTCAGATCTGTAAAAAAAATATAGATGTTTTTGTCCATCCTTCAACTGTGAGAAGATAAGTCAGCACTGTGGCTCTGAAAGGATATGTAGCTTTTAAGAAGCCGTTACTGAGAAAAGTATTGGACTATATTTTGCTCTAGAACAGAGAAACTGAGAATTTTTAATTGTGATTTCTTGAATTGTGAGAAGCAGAAAATGCAACCAACTTTTAAGACTGATCTTTGGAGTTGTTTACAAGAAGCATGGAAAAATATCCCTGGTGATCTTTAAAAAACTAAAAGTAAATCTCCTGAAAAGAATGGAAGCTGTAATAAAGACATTTAATTAATGGTGTTTTTAGTGGAAATTAAATACATGAAAGGGTGGTCTCTTACTTTTGCATAGCACTCTACACTAACATCAGTACAGTCTCTCCTTTTCACCTAAGCTCACTCTGTGTTTAACTCTTAACTGCTAGTTTTTTAACATTGCTCTCTGACTTTGTGCTAACGCCGCCAGCTGTTAGGAGATATGCGGAGCAAGGTTAGTCTCTACCTTTCTGTCTGTCTGTCTCAAATCAACTTCATTAAACCATTCTTTTCTTTTTAGCTCGCCTCCGTTTTGGGCTGTCTCTTTGTTTTGTGCCTTTTTCCAAAGCTCTCCTTTTTTTCTGTCTCCATGAGCAGAAGAAACCAGCCCGGCGGCGGTACGAGACCTACGGGATGTACTCTGATGATGATGCTAACAGTGATGCATCAAGTGTGTGCTCGGAGCGCTCGTACAGCTCTCGTAACGGAAGCATTCCCACATACATGCGTCAAACTGAGGATGTGGCCGAAGTGCTTAACCGCTGTGCCTCCGCCAACTGGTCAGAGAGAAAGGAAGGGTTGATGGGACTGCAAACTTTGCTGAAGAACCAGCGAACTCTCAGGTAACATACACATATGCATGACAGTTGAAAGGTTTGGAAACACTGTTTTCAATAATATGAAAATCAAAAAATGATTATATTGCACTGCTAATCATCCTTAACTTTAATTAGAAAAAAAGAACTGTAAAAAAAAAATGTTATGTGTTCAGAATGATGAGTTCCGGATTATTCCACGATGAAGATAACGTAGCACGGAATTTCTTTAAATATTAATTACAGTATATTATTTACCATTTAAGAACTTCTTGATCTTCTCAAAAATAAAATATTAAATAAAATATTTTGAAATATTTTCTGGTGTCTAGCAGTGTGTCTGCATGTATAGTACTTCAACCTACACTGTAAATTATTATTGAATAAAACAATAGCAATTGTTACATGAGATATGATTGACAGTTTTGAACGGTAGCGTATGTACCCACACTACCAAAACCCACATTCAGATATCTTAGCAGCCAAAAGATTTTCCTGAGGCTGGAAAAAGGAGGGCACTAGATGCTATATTTGCTGCTTGTTCTGCTCTTATTAGGGTCCCATGCTGTGAATGCTGTTGTCAGTGCCATTGACTTTGTCTTGTCTGCCTTTCTCTCTTCTGTTTCAGTCGAGTCGAGCTGAAGCGGTTGTGTGAGATTTTCACCAGAATGTTTGCAGACCCACACAGCAAGGTACCCCGGCACGCCGATTGCAGTGGGGCTCTTTTTTGCGCACACGCACCACAGACACACACAGACACACGCACACACACACACAAACATGCAGACAGACACTGCCCTGCCCTGCACGAAACCCACTCTCAGGTAACACAATATCGGATTCTGCCTCACCTAGAGCCCGTTTTTGTCCCCCCCCCCTCAGACACACACACACGCCCTCAGCAGCACTCTCGACCGGCATGCGCTCTGCACACTAACTCTGGGGGTGAAGCCGGTGGCTAATGGCATGTTTGGTATGGGTGAATTTTTCTGCACTTCACCGGCAGTTAGAATGCTCAGCTCTAGTCACTCACCGCACTACCGCTACCTACTCCAGTCTTTTCCGCATGCTTGCACGCACGCAAACACATTTTTTCTGAAATTGTAGGGTTATCAAAATTGCTGAAGAAAAAAAAAAATCAAACGGAACAATTCTATACCTCTGAACCAGTCCCTAAGTAATGGAACTATTACATTCTGGCATTAGGTGGACCAGCAAGATCTTAGAGAAACAGTTTTTATATAAATTAACTTTGCATTGATGAATAGTCATAATCAGCGTACTTTTACTGTTTGTGAAACCATGCATTTGCAGTAGTTTGTATTAGAATCCTGTGAGATCCAGAGACATTTGGGTGAAAATACCTGTAGGCAAATGAAACCTGAACCCGTTTTATCTAAATACGCACCTTTAAACGTACAAACGCGTGCAGAAACTAACCGCTCGGTGTCTAATTTGCCGTTTGAGCTGTTTTCTCACTCACCTGCGACGTTTTCCTGAAGTTTCCTTGGGCTGTGTCCCTGCTTTCGGTGGCTGGGCTGTTGCCCTGCTCTGTAAGTCTGATTGACGGGCTTTGGGCCCAACCCTCTCTCTGATTTACAGCGTGAGTCCAGAGGCTTCGGCACGGCAGAATCCGGTATCAGTTCCGCCTCCTTTAAGGTACAATACATGTTCCTGCTCATTTACAAATGCCTGACCTCTCCTTCAAGGGTCTGGAGACCAGGAGCACTGTTCTTCGTAATGTGCTTCCATTATAAAATCCCTAAGTGTTCTGGAACAGAAGTTTTTTCCTTTGTACTTTTGTAACGTTGTACCTTTTTTTCTTTATATTTCTTCTCTTATTTCTTTCTCATAATCTCCTTCTATCTGTCTATGTGGATGCCTGGATAGACTGTAATTGAAAATCACCAAAAATGCTAGTTACAAATGTACTTATGGTTCTATAAATTCTGCATGACCACCTACGTGTCCTATGGGGCGGAGCACAGTAGACACTTCTGGTAAACTTGTACTCATGTTGAGATCTTACATTATCAAAGTCACAGGCACTGCAGCCAGTAATACAAATCCTCTGTTTACGCAGAGTGACTGACAACTGTGCTGGTCATCTGGAGTTCATAGAACCACAGTTACATATGAACTGGCGTTCTAGTTTGTTCCTATAGGCTGCCAGAGGTGGTGCAAAGCACGGTTGATGACGAATAACACCAACAAAATCATGAGCAGTCGGATTTGCCTAAAGTTGAAGCTGAGCACCACTGAGCTCACTGTATGACTCAAGGCCACACTGACATTGTAGAGCCAGGACAAAGTGTAAGTCCATTGCCAGCTGACTGCTGAACAGACCTCCACCAGAGAAGCACCCTTCAGCACTGCCCGGGACACGGAAGCCAGCATAATATGCTGATTCACGAATTGAGACTTTAGGGACACACAACAGATTGGGACACAGCATGATTCTGGAATCATTCGGACTCAAAGCAGGCTCACAGACAGTTTGTGTAGTTCACCCACACATTTGGTACCTATGATACCAGTTCATATACAAGCAGTGAACATTGTTAACCTGTGATTTCTGTGCATCTTCCATCTTACTGGCTCTGTCGCACGTCCTGTCACTGCATGGTCTCGACCTCTGCACAGCCACACAAGTACAATCCACTATGCTCTGCATCACCTCTGGCAGTCAGTATAAATGAAGCAGTATTAAATTGTATGTTTCTCTTTCCCAGAAGTGAAGTCTGATTTTTGTTTATGACCTTATTGTACTGAAGGGGCTGTGAACTGTGATGAGTAAACTCACTAGATTGTGTTTTCTTTTCATGTCTTTCCCTGGGGTGCAACTGTAGAGAGTAAGTTCAGATGATTTTACGCAGATTTTTTTGTCTCTTCTGACAGCAACCTAACCATTTTTGATGCTTCTTAACATTTGGGTTTTTTATTTTTTGAGCTATTTCTCATGAATTAGTGGTGCCTGTTGAGTAGCATGTAATCATATTTGATTTCAGAGTATTTAGGGCTAGGTGCTAACAGGACAAGCTGCAACACTAATACACTAATCAATAACAGATTATGATGACACTCATCTGACCGATGCTTATCAGAGGGCATTACTGTCACTGATCCTCTTCCCTTGTTCATGCTATTTTGTGCTAATTCAATCTAAATAAGTCCACTTATGTTTTTCATGCCATAAATATTAATCACTGATTTAAAATCCAATAAATGATTGGTGATAATGCTAATCAGTGTATTTGTTTATGGGCAACTAATACTAAGAAACTGCTCACACTCTAAATGTATGAAAATCCTTTATTGTACGCAAAGCAGTGGGAATGCAGAAGTTTTCACAAACAAAATTTCAATCTCACATATAGATGTGGTTGCTGATTTGAATTTGTGTCTGTTCTGCACAGGTGTTCAGCATGTTTCTGGAGACGCTAGTGGACTTTATAGTGGTGCATAAGGAGGATCTGCAGGACTGGCTGTTTGTTCTGCTCACGCAATTGCTGAAAAAGATGGGTGCAGACCTGCTTGGCTCTGTACAAGCTAAAGTGCAGAAAGCCCTTGATGTCACAAGGTTTGTAAGATGCAAATTGCTGTCTTGTGAAGTAACAGAGTGGCACTAAAGGTTTATCATTTTGCCAGCAGTATCATCTTTTATTATTCAGCAAAAAAATGTCTTTCTTATATTTGTCTCTGTAGAGAATCTTTTCCTAACGATCTGCAGTTCACCATCCTCATGAGGTTCACTGTTGACCAGACACAGACGCCCAACTTAAAGGTAAGTGCTGCTTTCAGGTCTGGCTGCGTGTTTTCACAGACCAACTGGGCTGGCAGTGTTCTGAGTCATGCCCTATTAATCTGTGCTTAACTCTTAAAGCAGTATTGTACTGTGGATGGTTGCAGTTCAGGTGTTTGCCAGGGTTCCTAGCTGATTGGGAGTATTTCAGAATAAGTGTTGTCAGTGCTATGAGGCGGATGTAAGCTCTGCATCAGTTCTCGTGCAAACCATGAGGTCACTGCTTGGCACAAGATTCCACCCCAACTCATCTCTCCGGCACACCGATCACACACATACACGCCATTTGGCCCTCCTCCATTCCATCCCTGTATACTTCTTCTTTATCTTTCGTTCTGATTCTTTTTTCTTTTTTTCCTCCTTGCTCCCCTCCCTCCCCGTCTCTCCTTCTCTGTGCGGGACTCTCTGTCATTGACATGCTCTCCTCTCTCTCTCTGAAGCCGGGGAGAAGGCGCTGTTGCCGGTACGGGGGCGGGGCTATAGAATTGCTTCCCCTCAGAAAGCGGCGGCATGCTTGCACACTGCAGGAACATATCCAAGTGTGGAACCAAGCAGTACAGGTCAGTGAGACTCAGGGGAAGCAATTCTATAGCACGCAGGGCTCCTAACAGGCAACTCCCCATCATAAGCACAGGCCTATGGAGCCTGGAATACTTAAAGCTTAATGACATCATAGTCTTGGCAGCTCTCACAGTAGTTACCAATGCAATCCCAGACTTTGATCAAAGTGAAGAAGAGCCTTTGCAAGATTGTAGAGAGTGCTGAATTGAACCCGTGCTGAAATAACTGCTGTGCTGCCAGTGTGAGAGAGAGAGAGACCTCCAAGTGCTCTAGTATTACCTCGTTCAATGGACCTCCTAACAGAAGCTACTTAGGTTACTAAGCACATAATGGATACTTTGCATCTGGCCCACAGGAAGATAAAGAGTGGGGCATCAGTACTAGGACATGCATTAGCTCCCATGCCTTTGTCACATTGCCCAAGCACCCAAGCACTCATCTTTTTTTCATTTAGACCTCTGTCCGCTGTCCTGTTTCACTTCACGCAAATGCTGTGTATCATTTCTCCCTGTTGCTATGAGTATGCCAAGCATAGCTGTGTATATATGACTGTTCACGTGACTAGTTCAAATAGATTGTGATATTAAGTATAATGTGTTTTACTAGATGTTGATTGGGATTGTAGTCAAACATTGTCTTTCTATATGTACTGTGCTGGTGATTGAGTTAACATTGAAAGAAATCAGAGACACAGTGCTGATATATAATTTTCATTAGCTGAGGTGATTTGTAAGAGTGTGAATGCTAGTTGAACACTAGTCATAATTAGCTGATGAGGTGTAATGGTGATTAATGTTATGGTATAGAGTGGTAATTGTATAATAGCAAATTGCTTATTTGTAATATGATTTCTTTGGCAATGAAAAGTACCAAATGTGTTGTTGTTCAGTAGTAATGTGAGGCCACTATTTTCAGGTGAAGGTGGCCATCCTGAAGTACATTGAGACGCTGACGCTACAGATGGAGCCACAGGACTTTGTGAACTCCAGTGAGACAAGACTGGCAGTTTCCCGCATTATCACATGGACCACAGAACCCAAGAGCTCTGATGTTAGGAAGGTACAAGGAAGCATTTCATGCAAAATCCATACACATATGCATAAGAAGAAATTTGAGATTTTCAGGGGCTTTTGCACTTTTCAGCTTTGTGTTATGGCTTCCAATGCAGGATAGGTACCTTTTTGTAGAGCATTTTCACCCTCAGCAGTATGTAACACCTTAAACAGGCTGCTGAGAACATTCATGGTTAGTTTCACACTGTACTTGAATCTGCTGTAGTTGTAGTTATGCTGAAGAATCTTATCTTGTGTGAGGTACCTTCTGAATTGCTGGAGGATTATGTAATGCTTGGTTGCAGGCGGCCCAGTCCGTGCTGATCGCACTGTTCCAGTTGAATACACCGGAGTTCACCATGCTTCTTGGTGCACTTCCTAAAACCTTCCAAGATGGAGCCACCAAACTCCTTCAGAACCACCTGCGCAATACAGGCAATGTAGCACAGGTAAGGTACTCATGAACACACACTAACACAGACAACATTGTTTGGCTCTGAACTTCAGAACTCTAGAAATCTGAAATTTGAAACCGTTGAGGTTCATGTGTTGAGAATAGCTTTAAATCGAGGGTTTGGTTTAACATGTTATTTCCATTCATGCAGCAATGTCTATTTCTGTTGTTTCCCCAAAAATTATGTTTAACTTTTGTGCTGGAGTTAGGCTCCAGTATATTGGAAAAATGACAAGTGACTGTTGGCTTAGTAGTGCTGAATACCCAATGTTGTGTGTGTTTGGTACAATTTTGTAGCAGATGTTTATAGTAATGTACACTATAGAGACAAAATTATTGGGACACGTCCTTATTATTGAGTTCAGGTGTTTCAGCCACACCCTTTCCTAACAGGTGGATAAAATTAAGCACTTAGCCTTGCAGTCTGGATAGACAAACACCAGCAGTAGAATGGGTCGTACTGATTAGCTCAGTGACTTTAAACATGGCACTGTCATAGGGCCATCTCTGCCACAAGTCAGTTTGTGAAATTTCTGTCCTGCTAGATCTGCCCCATAAACTGTAAGTGCTATTACTGTGAAATTGAAGTACCTGGGAGCAACAACAGCTTAGCAATGAAGTGGTACACCACGCAAACTCACAGAGCGGGGCCGGCAAGTGCTGAACCACACAATGCCTATCCTCTGTTCACTTACTACCGAGTTCGCCAGAGCAGTGAAAACGCATTTTGTGGAGTTATTAATCACTCTTCTCTATCTGGCAGTCTGATGGATGAGTCTGGGTTTGGCAAATGCCAGGAGAATGTTTGGCCTAGGCTGCTTAGTTCCAGTGAAGGGAAATCTTAATGGTTCAGCATACCAAGACATTTTGGACAATTCTATACTTCCAACTTTGTGGGAACAGTTTGGGGAAGTCCCTTTACTGTTCCAGCATGACTATGCCCCAGTGCATAAAGCAAGGTCCATAAAGGCATGGTTTGGTGAGTTTGATGTGGAAGAACTTGACTGGCTCGTACAGAGCCCTGACCTCAACCCCATCAAACACCTTTGGGATAAACTAGAAGAGAGATTGTGAGCCAGGCCCTCTCGCCCAACATCAGTGTCTGACCTCACAAATGCTCTTCTGAATGAATGGGCAAAAATTCCCACAGACACACTCCAAATTCTTGTGGGAAAACTTCTCAGAATAGTGGAAGCTCTTAAAGCTGCCAAAATCAGCTATAATGGGGCTTAATGCTTATGGGATTTAAAATGGGATGTCATAAAAGCTCCTGTGGGTGTAATGTGTAGGTGTCCCAATACTTTTATCCATATAGTGTATGTGCTTGGCTCCCTGCAACATCCTTAAAGTCAACATGAATCAGAAATCATAGTGCATTTTCCTTCTGTGCCATGGTATAATTCTGAGTGAAATGTGGAATCTCTGAGCTCTGAGAGGTGAAACATATTGTTTAATATTTTTTCATAAGCATGATGTTGCATTGTGATGTAATCAAAACTCAGACGAGTAGAGGCAGGTAAAAGACATTACGTTTTGATAGAAGATAATGGGAAAACGAGAATATTTCATTTAAAAGAACAGCCTGCCTTTTCTTACTGAAAAGAAATTCTAAATGCCTTTTTGCTCACCCTGTAGGCTCCAGTGGGTAGCCCTCTGACACGACACACACCAAGATCACCAGCCAGTTGGTCTAGCCCTCTAACATCCCCTACCAACACATCACAGAACACACCCTCACCTAGGTAACATTTGTCTTTCGTACAGTCTCGGTTTACAGACTTTCTAACAGTAGACTCCTACATTTTCACAGGGTTTACAGGCCACTGACCCCTTCTTACATCTTTTTGTGTAGTTCATTTGATTATGACACAGAGAATATGAACTCAGAGGAGATCTACAGCTCTCTGCGTGGGGTTAGCCAAGCCATCCAGAACTTCAGTGTCCGCAGCCAAGAGGACATGACTGAACCACCACGCAAAAGAGAGGGGGATGGAGGAGAAGAGGTAAGAGTAAAGTGATGGAAGATGACTGAGTTATAAGATTTGGCCCTTACATCCACCACCCCTTGACAGAGATATTTGTTGCTGACCTGCACTCAATTTACCAGCCAGTCCTGAGTCTGTGTATCAGGTTTGTTTGTAGAGAAAATAAAGCTTGTACTAAACCTTTCCTCTTACTTATTTTCTTTCTTTCTCTTTCATGTATAATTCTATGCTCTATTGGATGTCTTTTATGTGTTTTAATATCTGGAGCTATATTCTTTGCTAAAAACTCAGAACAGCACTGTAAAGTTGATTTGTGGTAAGATGATTCTGAGAGTTAAAGTTTCAGTATCAGTAACAGTATAGAGTGTGTACTAGTATTGACAATGAGCATTGGACCATATTAATAAACTAATGGATGTTTGTGTGTCTGTGCAGGGTGGTCCTGACACTACGGATTCTGGTCGGACAGCTCTGGATAACAAAACCTCTCTTCTGAATACCATGCCCTTACTGTCCTCTAGTCCCCGCCCCACGAGGGAATACCAACCAGGGAGTTACTCTGACTCTTCCTTTGGCTCTTCCCCCTTTAATAAGAGCCTGAAAGATGCACTAGACCAAGATGCAGAGTCCCTTACAGATGGTGAGATACAACCTATGAGTGTTGTACAATAATTCCTCATTTGGCAAAATACATGACTAATTTGTATTTGGGTGAACTCTATCAGATGTTGCCTGTAGGTTTTTAGACATTTTGGCAGTTTCATTGGTCACATGGTAACCCTTGAGTATGTCGGGATACACAGGGTCTTGGCTTATGAGTTCCTATATTCGTGAGTGAGTTCTGATTCTCTTGTAGATAATGATTTAATTGTGCCAGCAGACAGCAGTGTGGACCAGTCAGAGGTGGTAGCTGAGCTACTTAAAGAGCTCTCCAATCACAGTGAGCGGGTAGAGGAGAGGAAGGCAGCACTCTGTGAGCTCATGCGGCTGATCAGGGAAACACAGCTGCACGTCTGGGACGAGCACTTTAAAACCATTCTCCTGCTGCTACTGGAAACTCTGGGGGATGGAGAGGTATATACACCTATAGTGTTGCCTGCAGGGAGGAAAGAATTGAATTTTGTAACTAATTACTCTGTCATTTACGTACAATTCTGCAGCATGTGATTCGTGCATTGGCACTGCGAGTGCTGAAGGAGATTCTAAACAGGCAGCCGTGGCGCTTTAAGAACTATGCAGAACTCACCATCATGAAGACCTTGGAAGCACACAAAGATCCACACAAAGAGGTCAGCCCTCAAAACAGACCTTATGTGCTTACATTTCCCAGGTCATCTAAACTGAAACAATGTAGTTTCCCACATGTTTTCTTATGTAATATGTAAAAATCTTAAAATCTGAAATCAAAACTAAATCGTGTGTAGGTGATCCGGGCAGCTGAAGAGGCCGCGGCAATGCTGGCGAGCTCCATAAGCCCAGAGCAGTGCATTAAGGTACTGTGCCCCATCATTCAGTCTGCAGACTACCCCATCAACCTGGCCGCCATCAAGATGCTCACCAAAGTCATCGAGCGCCTGTCCAAGGACGGCCTGCTCCAGATGCTCCCTGAGATTGTCCCTGGGCTCATACAGGTAATAACCAAGTTATGTGGCATTTATAGCACAGTGTTTCAAGGTTGTGCAGAGTTCTGGAGAGTCCTGGATTTCTCTATAATAATTATTTTGCTCTGCTGTCTAGGGTTATGATAACTCTGAGAGCAGCGTACGAAAAGCTTGCGTGTTCTGCCTGGTGGCTATCTATTCCATCATTGGAGAGGATCTTAAACCTCACCTCAGCCAACTGTCTGGCAGCAAAGTAAGTTGGTAAAATGCACACCTTCCCCCAGTTTGCACTATGTAGCACACTATTTAGTCCACTATTTGTTGTTAGGGTGCAACAGTACAACATATTGTATCAGATATCTGAGGTATAGCAGACATCCAGCAACCCACACGTTTATACATATTCTGTAAGTAGTCACATGCGGATGCTTATATGTGTAAACAAATACTGAACCTGAGTCGAAATAAATTTGTGAATTGTTGCACTCCTAATTTATAGCGCACATACAGTGCACTATTTTTAATTTAAAAAAAGGATGTAAAAGTGTGCTATGAAGTTAAAATGCAAGTTGTTTACGGTGTCTACAGAATAACACTGTGTCTGTCTGTCTCTGCAGTTGAAGCTGTTGAACCTGTATATAAAGCGTGCTCAGAGCGGCTCCAGTGGAAGCGACCCGTCCTCAGACATGGGAGGTCAAGGCCTGTAGCTCAGCCCACAGGACTTTATGAGGGCAGGGAGCCCTAGCAGGCTTTTTAACACGCATACAAAACACTCAGACTGCTATACACTGACACAGGCTTGCAGTCACACACTCTCACATGTATGGACCTACACTTCTGGACGCCATCCCTTGCCTTCACTTTACCCTCTAGCTGCAGTCTGAAGCCAGGTGGGGCAGCACTGGACTCGTCTGAAACTCTTCCTCCCAAACAGAATTCAACTGTGTTTGTGCGTGAGTGTGTCTTACTTTGTGGAAGCTCCATCTTTGACGCTGGTGGTAAGCTTTGTAGAGCTTGTTGACTGATAATGGAGGGAATGTGTGTGCGTGCGTGCGTGCGTGTGTGTGTGTGTGTTCGTGTTCACTTATCTGTGGAAATCCCAGCAGTGAGATAAGGGGGAGAGAGGGGAGGCTTTGGGTGTCATTCCACAATATCAAGATCATTTCTTTTGTATCAAAGAGCTTTTTGGGGAAAACTCAGATTTGTAAGATGCAATTCAAAACTCCAGAATCTGAGCAGAAATATCATTAACAACCTGAAGGCTCCTTATTGATTATTAATGGTCATATCACTTCATAACACTGAGCGGTTGGTCCAGCTTGCTCTATTATATGGCATATTTTGCTTGGCTATATGCATGTCATGATTAAAAACCAACCCTTTTATCTGGTAGCCTACAAGGCTTAACAGGTCCGGCAACCCATTCTCACGCCCAAGATGCATCGCAGTTGTTCTGTGAAGCCAGACATGACTGATTACATAGGCAATATGTATCTATATATAACACAACAGGAGTATTCGAGAAGGTTTTGTGTTGCTCGGAGGGCGCGTGGATTCTTTTCAGTAGCATAGTGTCATTCTTCTCTGATGGGAAATTTGTAGAAATGTATTTACGCATTTAAATGGCAAAACCGTTGTGTCTCTTTCTCCTCCCTGTAGTCTCTCTTTCTCCCCTTGTGAGGAAATTGTTTCCTCTGTTGTTTCCCCGCTGCATTTCTAGAGCTATGCTAACAATGAAATGAAAATAAAGACAAAATGTACAGACATGAGCAAAACTGTTCTGCCTTCATTTATTCGTGCTGAGATTTTTCTTCAGTTCTACGTTCTTACAGAAGATACAGGAACAGTACTGACTTGTTTACCTGTGGTTGGTGATTCCTGGGATGCCCTCCTGTCCTGTCCACTTTGATTCCATGCACATGATATTGTACTGTCATAAGTCTTCTGTTGTCGTTAACCTGCATTTGAATATAATGAAATAATAAAAGAAGTGTTGTGGAATCATAGAAGAACACAAGATTTGTAGTTGACCCCTGATTTATTGACAACAGAGCATAATATAACTCCACAACTGGACACAATTTATATCTGTAGTTGTATCACTGAATTAACTAGTTTTCATAATAGGTAAATATATGGTCACTGTCAGAATAAAACCTTGATCTCTATGTTTGTCATTTGTAATTTGAAAATGACAGTTGATCATGATGTCATCATGAATAGAGAATGGAAATTCCCCAAAAGTACTTATAGAAAAAAAATGTTCCAATAACATTATTTTAAACAAGGAATATTGTTTATTCCTTCATCAGTAAAGTTACCATTTTGGATATACAAGGTTTCGCCACAACAGTGATGATGCAGTGTTGTGGCACCTTTTTATGCACAAGCTTCACCTGATCTACGGCTTGTCCAAAATTGACCCCAAGTGCACTAGGACACTTTTTCTGGAGATAAAAGATTTTGTTAGTACAGTGATGGTAGGCATTGTTTTCTTCTTTTGGTAGCAGGTTTGCAAAATTATAATAGCTATCCATAGAACTGTGAACTTGGGTGGCACAGTGTGACAGCTATTAAAAATGCATGCAAATAGGAAACGGAAAAAGTATTCAAAGCTTACACGGAAAACCATTTCTGTGGAGAGTGTGTGTGGCGGAGGAGGGGGATGAAGTAACAAGCTTAATCGGGACAATAGTCCATAAAAACACGTGACGTGTTTAAGGCAAACAAAACCAAGTAAAGGTCAAAATGTCCACTAAGCAGGAGAATGAAACAATTTTACATTTAACATGTAGTGAAAGCCTACAGTAATCGTAAACAGACTCAAAATTAGAAATGAAAACAAAACAAGTCTTTAATGCAGGGACATCATAACAGACAGCCTTGTACACCACTCGTCCTTCAGAATGACGACAATCCGACTCATGTACGCATCAAAATTAAAAAAAAAATCTGCAGGGCCATCTTAATCCCGATTATGTAGGCAATTTTAATTCAATCATAAAAACGAGAAACAGTGTTATGAAGCTTATCAAACTAATTGTATGTTCAACTGTTACAAACGGTAAGTGATTTGAACTTATTGTGGAGAAACTGAACTGATCAGGAATCACAGGAGAGGAACGGTTCGTTGTTGTGAGACGAGCGTTTGGGATCCAAGGAGAAGACGATGACGACAGCCTGTTCGGATGACTCCCATTGGCCAAGCAACGTTCCGTTGCCATGCAAGAAGCTGTGTGGTTGGATACCGAGTCCGCGAGACCGAGTAGCTTGTAGTTTAGCCAGTTCGTACATGATGCGTTTGGCGACAGGAGGCCATGATGTCGTGTATTTTCTGGCTTCTAAAAAGATGCCTTAAATCTGAGCTGGCCTAGTTTTCTTCATCATGAAACTGGGCGAACGGTTTCGGACGGCAGTGGACCAACGGGCATTTTAAGCTTGTTTAAAATCTGAGGGTGAAGTGAGAACAGCTCGGGTGGATATTGCGTGTATGAAGGCGATGCACTGACTGGACTGTCAGCAGCGTCCTCCCACTTCATTTATATCGGTTACAGGGGGAAACGGAGGTTTCTTTACCAGCTAGATGTGTTTTCTTCGGGCGGAAAGGCATGCCGAGGGCTCGTCTGGTGAGTTGGTCGTGACGAATCTCGTGTTGGAGTAAGGTGCGGATCAAGGCGCTGCTCGTGTCAGCTCGCTCTTCTGAAAGAAAATCTCCGCCGGGCAAGTTGCTGTGAAATTAGTCCAGCTAGCTGCATGGCGAGGCTCACTGCAGCTACAGCTCTAACGTTACTGTCACCCTTTCCCCTATGACTCTCAGCGGCTAGCCTACCGCCGGTGGCCAACCAGCTGACGAGCTTGGCTAGCCCCGCCACCTCTGTGGCGTTAGCTCTCTGTTTTTTGTCGGCAGAGAGCGAGAGAAGCTGGCGGCCCTCCGTCTGGAGCCCGATGAGAAGGATATAGGCGCCATGGCGTGGGTGCTGAAGATGGACGATGCTACGATCGAGTCCGGACTTGTCCACGACTTCGATGCCAGTTTATCTGGGATCGGCCAGGAACTCGGGGCTGGAGCCTACAGCATGAGGTTAGAGGACTAAAGCCGCTCGCTAGCTTTCCGAAAGTCACGTAGCCTTGAGGTCCAACTCGTCACGGCCAAGAATCGTGACTAGAAAAGCGCTAGCTAGCCGCTTAGCCACTTAGAACTGATGGAAGCCAAGCCATGGTTGTAGCTGCTTAGCTTTCCTATTGTGGCTATGTTGCACAGAACCGCCATCTGCTGTAATGGATCAGTTTGATCAACGGTTTAGGTGGTTGTACACATTCGTCACTCGTTCCTCATTGTTTGGCGAAACAGTCACTGTAAACAACCCGAGTCAGCAAGAGGTGATGTGTTTTATGGTAGTCACCCTATCAGCTTCGCTAGTGAGCTAGCTTAAAGTTGTTCAATACAAGATATTCTGGCAAAACACTCGGAGCGTAATGCTGCAGCTAGCTAAAGGACGTTACCTACAGCCATCTGCCTTACTTCCTGGAACAGCATGTTCTTCTTTTACATGTAGCTAACACAGTTACACTCATACTGAAGTCCGCCAATAACACTTGCATTAAAGTTAGATTTGGTTGTAAGTTCTGTTTTATATTGTATATACCATGTCATACTGGTTTATTATGAACTGGTTCATCCCCTGCAGCTTCCCTGCACTAAGGACGTCCTCTTTCTCTAGAAAGTTTGTGTACACTGAGCTCAACGTCTCTTTCTCACTTTCTCACACACATACGAGGCTACATATAAGTTGTGTCGTGTTGTTAGAAAAATGTAGTATCACGATACTTGAAGTTTTCATAATACACGATACGTCACTATATATTTTTTGACGCTGATAAACTGGAAAAACAAAATAGTGCCACCTTTTAAAAAATACTATCAAAAGCTATGAATGCAATGATTTATATTCAGTGTTTCACATTGTTTAGCCCACTACGCTGTGCTAAATCCAATAAAACAGGGCTAATTATGCACTCTTTTTTTCAAACACGCCGTTGGGAAGTGTTTTTAGATATTTATTATATTCACAGTATGCTCAGAAAAGCCCATTGTGGCATACTGTGATGTAAGTTGTTATGATAATGATAAAGATTATCACATTGCCCAGCCCTGTGTTATGTTATGTTACGGTATCATCATTGTCTGACTATTCGTGTTGTACAACAGAGAAACATGTATCCCTTCTGTGCAGGGACGTCCAGTTTCATGACTCCTGCATCTTTCACAGACTGTCCAAAGAGAATCTTTGTTCTCTGATTATCATACAGAAAGTCCACAGTAATGACTTTGAGAGTAAAAGCCTCTGAAACAGTGCCCTCACACTGGCCAGCTCGACTACATATCAGCTTACCTTGAAGAATTTAGTTTGGTGCTTATTGAGCAGTTAGTCAGAATCGAAGCTTTCAACATCTTTGCTGATTTGACGCGTGTAATCTGCTGATGGTCATGCCGTTTGATTAGAAGTGACCGCATTCTTGTCAGTAATGTCATAATCAGACATGATAAAGTTAACTTTGCTGCTGCTGAGCAGCGGTGCTCGAGGGCACATTGAGAAACAGAGCTTCAAAGGCCATAGCACACTAGTTCAGCGGTTAGATAACAAACACGGTGCTGTACATCATATTTTTTCTTCAACATAATTTGTAATGCAGAGTCATTTTCTGTGCTCTACATTGCAGCCCAGTCAGTAGTTCTAGTGCTGTGTTGCCAGGTTGCATTGGGCACTGTGTAGTCACTCTCTGCATATCTAGACTGACACAAATGCATAGTCGCCACACACACACACACACACGCACACGAACATGTCAGCTCAGGTTTCCCTGGAATGGCTGCCCTGAGGACTGGCATGGTTTTGGGGTCATGATGGAAAAATCAGTATCAGCAAATCTCTCTCTCAAAACATGCTCGGTTACATCTTCTACATAAACCGTGTCTGTTTGGGTGCGATCTAGGGGTTGAGACGGTGGTGGAGTTTACATTTGTTCCAAGTTGGGAACTGTGAGCACACAGAGTCTACGGTGGCTACCCATTAAGAGTTAAGTAAATGTCAGACAGGGGACATTTCTCACGCTTTCGTTCTCTGTTATCAAGTTTCTTGGTACCCCACCCTGTGACACCACAGCCACTAGTGTTCTCCTACAGTGTTTTCGCTGCATTGGGTAATATCTGCCTTGAGGTTGACATTAAAGGAGGAAATGAGAACTGGTCCTTGGCAACATTATTGGAATTCGCATTGGGTTGTTGGCATTTGACTGGTGTCCTCACTGAACATACACATGTCAAATCCCCACTGAATGTAAACTCAATAATGCAGCTGGTGTATCAGTGCACTGAGCATTCTCTCAGTGTGTGTGTATGAGTTAATACTGGGCCGAAGCGTTAAGTATCGTGATGTTCTAGTGCAGGGGTGAGTGATGCCACGAGACCGATTATCTAACCGGTGGTCAGGCTGGTCTGTGGAAGAAGCAGCTGTGGAACAGAATATTATAGTAGTGGCTGCTCAGGTTTCAGACAGCACAGGCAGCTTCCTGGGCAGCAGTGCTATCACTGCTGTGCATGCCTTAGATACACCATCAACGTGCTGACTCTGCTTCTTTTAGCCTTACAGTATGGACTGTCGCTGGGTTTGAGTTTGTTACATTGCATTGCGAGAAGTCAGTGAGAAAATACAGCATCGAAGGAGAACAGTCTTATGAATCTTATGGAAATATATGTTTGCTTTATTTATTTATTTTAGGAACCCATAAAGAAATTGTAGGCTGATGCCAGTATGTTTTTTTTTGTATATATCATAAACATTTACAAAATGTAGAAATTGGGCCTAGCTCCACTTTGATTAGCATTACAGAGAAATAGAACGCTTATTGACAGTGCAGTAAAATAAATAAATTACCGATATTTTAGCACAGTAGCTAAACTACTAGCCACCTAAACATTCTGCTCTTCCATAAAACATGTCACCAAATATTGGTATGAAATATTGGTCAAATCTAAACATCTGTCCGATGCAATTTTTTAAAACGCAAACGTCTACCAGTATGACTCTGATGTTGTGCGTCTCTGTCGGTTATGTCATTACTGTCATACCTGAATCTGATCATTTTTCACTTTTTTGCATGATTTGAAAACTCCAGTTAACTTTTGCTTTGTTTTAAATTCCATGATGAATGAACCAGTAGCAATGACTCAAAAATCTTGTTACATTAACTTCCATTACAAGTTCAGAATGTTTTTTCCTTCTCCTGCAAAGTTACCACTTTCAAGGTACATGGTTTTGTTCCAAAAGTGACGATTTATATCAGCCTCCCTGTTTACTGTATTGGATACTAAAATACTAAAAATAAGGCAGGCTTACTGTACTGTATGTCAAATTGTGAACAAATTCTTTAATTGTGAGTTAAAATAGGTGATCTTCAAACTCTAAAATCTGTGATCTTAGAACACTTTCCATCCAATCACAGCCTTTGAGTTCTGGCATTGTGGTATTTTGGACCAAGATCTCAGATTGTAAGTGCTGCTGCGATGCACATCAAAAGAACAACCAGTAAAGAGCGGCATAGGATGGTGCACAACTCGCACACCAGCTACAAATACATGACGGTAATAATGGTGAAACAGACGTAAAGCAAAATGTTGTATTTAAAAGAAAGAAAGAAATAAAGCACTGATAGATTATCTGATCAGAATGTTTTTTTTTCTTATGTCAAAGATACAATCATCAGAGAATCTTTATTGATATAATCTAACTTACACACATGAAGATGACTGTGCAGATTTTGGCTAATATTTTATTAGCTTCTTTTGCAATGTGATGTACAGTAAACGTGCAAGACTGCTTTTTATAGCTGACTTCAGTTAGATTGTACATCCCAGCTATGGACATTAGTTTGATTCTAGAGTGGCCTTTGTTGGCTGTAAGGATTGACATGCGAGACTGTGAGTGTGCACTAGGGCCGTGTAATGAAATGATGTTTTTATGATGCTGAACAAATTATTTAAATTCTACAGTGTCAAAAAATTCCATGTCATTTACCATCAAATTTAAATATCCAAGCAGTCTCGTCACCGTCTGTATGCCAATAACCATGCTTATTCCAGAATTTGATGGGCTGTCTAAACTACATTCTATATTATTATTGTTATTAACGTCAGCACGTTTTGATTAGTCCACAGTCCTTTGCAGTCTGCAAATGTTCTCATGTCTAGCACCTCACACTAATTTCTAATTTTAGTCCCATCTACATTCAGTTTGTACTTTTCTATGCCTTCTCATTCAGGAATCTGTGATAAAGTCAAAACATCAGTATCGGTGTCAGTATCACAAAAGTTTGAGCGATATGTGGCCGTAGTGCGCACAGCATGTAGGATTCTGCAGGGACACTGCATCCTCTCTCCTTCGCTTGTAGTCTGGTAGAACCTAAGTGTTGTTTTTTACCTTTGCGGTTTTGTAGGTTGAAAAGAGAGGATGTATGTGGTTTTAGATGTCTAGAGGAATGAGGGGGTTCCCCAGTGCTGGTCTCTGTGACAACTGTTTCCATAGTGACTATGACAGAAAGGGACTGTGTTTGGCTTGTTCACATGAGTGCTGTACTGACAGTGTCTCTCTCTCTCTCTCTCTCTCTCTCTCTCTCTCGCTCTGTCTCTCTCTCGCTCTGTCTCTAGTGATGTGCTGGCTCTGCCCATCTTTAAGCAGGAGGATGGAAGCGATCCTGTCGAGTCAGACAGTAAGAATCCTCCCTTTCAGTATGTCCTCTGTGCTGCCACCTCCCCTGCTGTTAAACTGCATGAGGAGACAGTCACCTACCTAAACCAAGGTAAACAGTCTCAGTCTCTGTGCTATACATGATGCAGTTGCTTATGTTGCTGATTTTGAGACGAGCATTTATTCACAATGGAAACATCCGCTTTTTGCTATCCATTTAGGCCAGTCTTATGAGATTCGTCTCCTAGATAACAGGAAGAAGGGGGAAGTGCCAGAACTCAACAACAAGACTGTAAAGGTATAATTAGTCCTCTTTAATTGGAATAACTGCAGCGCAATATGTGAAATGCTAACTGAAAATCAGTGCACTCAAAGTAACATTCTTGTTGCAGTGTGTCAGTTCCAAATTATTAAACTTCAGAAAAAGAAACTGTCATAATACACACTGTGTCATGAAGATATCTGAAAGTATGATGAGGTTACATCTAGTAAATCAAGTTACTTCAAGTAAATGAAAGAAAATGTGAAAAAAATGACGTTAAGTCCTTACAAATTAGTATTACTGTAGATGCATTTTACCCGTCCACATGAAAAGTGTTCTAGAACTCTCAATCCTGGAGAGCATTTTCCAAAAGCTATTTTCAGTGACCGAAAATGCTGTTTTGTTGTAAATGGGAGGCCAAAATGCAGATAAAATAACATCTGTACATTTGTGAATATACCCTGACAGTCCAAAAGTATAGTTTAATTGTGCAGTTTAGACAAAAGGCTGTTCATCTGTTCTGCCAACATGTTTTTCTTTTGTATTTTCTTGACTGAAAAGAAGACAATGACATTGCAATTTTAATCTCTTTACATTTTTAAACATTTAACATTTTTTACATTTTTACTTTATTTACTCATTTAACTTTTTTTTATTACATTTTTAGCAGTTACACACCATGCTGAACTCTTGCCATTTTCTACTGTAAATGTTGTGCATTTTCTCTAGATCATCATACATGACAGTCATACTTTTGTGACAGGTGAGCTTAGTTTTACACGTCATACGAGAATTTTATACGTATTTTTAAACAGTTCTAAGTGGTGTTCCCATGTTTTTTACTTTTTTGGTTCGGCTTAACCATGTAGCCCTGTCATCCCTTGCAATCAAGTGATGTAAATGGGAAGTGCAAATATCATAATGTCAGTAAGTTTTTGCAGTTGTTAGTTTTGTTGTTCTATATAGATTTATACACTACGTGTAAATGTAAGGGCCTCCCAATCATAATACAATCATATTAGTCCGTTGGCTAAATATCCATCATGTTATGTTTTCATGTTTTACAGTCATGTTTTAAATGCTTTCTGTGATAAGGCCTGGTGCTCTGTCTGTAATGAGTATGTGTTTATATTCATTCTTTTTTCGTGTGTGTGTGTGTGCGTGTGCGCGCAGAGTATAATCAGAGTAGTGTTTCATGACCGGAGACTGCAGTATATGGAGCATCAGCAGCTGGAGGGTTGGAAGTGGAATCGTCCCTAACGACCGTCTCCTCGATATCGGTAAAAAAAATTGTGAGCTTACTGTGCTGTGGCTTTGAATTTGCTAAACATGGCCAAATGTCAGTGAAAACACTGATCACCGTATGTATTTTGCATTTGATGTAGATATCCCCATGTGTGTGGGTATAACTGAACCCCGAACCCACGCCTCCCAGCTAAATGCTGTTGAGTTCTTGTGGGATGTCTCCAAGCGTGCATCTGTATTTGTACAGGTAAAATATGTTCTGATACACCAGAACACACGTCTTCATAAATTGTGCAGTCTTTGAAACTGTTTTGGTCCGTGGTGTAAAGTAGGCCTGTCATGATCATGAAATTTTGGCTCACGATTAATTGTCAAGAAAAAGGTGCAACACACACTCTGTACCATAGCAAAGGCCCTTCCATGGGAATCTGAAGAAGGACTTGAATGTGGGTCAAAGTGTCATGTTTTTAACTTTATAAAGTCATAATTTTATATAGTATAGAGTCTTGTTCTTTTTTTCTTGACAAGACTTTTGACTTTTTGTTGACCTTCATTATAGTTGGTAGAAGCAACTTTTTTCTTTGTCATTTAGCTCACTATATAATAATTGCAATTAACAGTTTACTTTTTTCAACTAATAAATTACCATCTACAAAAGCCAAATGGGCCAATTAGCTGTCTTGATTTATAGTTGTTGATACTTAGTAGGTCCCAACTGATGACAGTCAACAAACATTTTTCTCTGCTGCCCTTTAAAGGTGTTAAAGCACCAAGTCAAAAGTTTTGTCTCAATATTAATACTTAATACTCAGTACTTTCTGCTTTTTTATTTATTTGCATTTGCCTCAACCTAATGGATGAAAGTGCACCCAATTCACATTCTGTTTGTTGCAACGTATGATTGTGAAAGCTAGCGTTTTAATTGTGACAGGCCTAAATGTAACCATATTGCTGTGTATTTGTGGCTGCTGTATTAGGTGCACTGCATCAGTACAGAGTTCACCCCACGAAAACATGGTGGTGAGAAGGGCGTACCGTTCCGCATCCAGATAGACACCTTCAAACAGGACGAGAGCGGAGAGTACACACAACACCTGCACTCAGGCAGCTGCCAGATCAAAGTGTTCAAGGTAACAGTAATAACACAAACACAGACAAAGTGCTTTTCAATGACTTCTTTATCCCCCAGTGTTTTTGTATCAACTGGCCTTAAAGAAAAATTCTGTAAGACTGAAAATTGTTTGGCGTCTGAGTCTCTGCACATCTCTGTGTTTAGCCAAAGGGAGCAGACCGCAAGCAGAAGACCGACAGAGAGAAGATGGAAAAAAGGAGTGCACAGGAGAAGGAAAAATACCAACCCTCCTATGATACTACCATTCTGTCAGAGGCAAGCAGTTTCCTGTGTGTTTGACTGGTTTCTGTTATTTGGGTGCGAGTGTGTGCACGCTGACAGGGTTGGGTAGTAACAGAATACATGAAACAGTGTTACGTAATCAGGATACAAAAAAAAAAAGGCAACTCTAACTTTTTCCCCCCTAAAGAACAACATATAAACACAGCATTATCCTGTGCTACTGTTTCTCCTGACTGTGGGAACATAGCTGAGCTGTGCTACTTCCTAGCATAGGCTTCTACTTACGTAGCTATAATAAGCGAGTTAAAGTTGACCATGGTAAAGAAAACAGTACAGTAACGTTACTAAAAATTCTGTGCCGATGGCAGTCTTCACCCATTTGCCCTAGAGTTCTGCAGCTAGTCCTGTATGGTGGAACTCTAGTTAATGTGCTTCAACCCACCATGGTGTGCTCTGTGTTAAATGCAAGGTCAGCAGTTTAAATTTTTAATTCAGTAGGATCATGGAAGGTACAATGCATCAGGCTAGCTGGCTAGTTGGTGATTGTCGACCTCACAGTAATGATGTCTCTGGGATATAAAGCCTCCTAGCTACACCACTAGCCTAGTTTTGGCAGTGTAGTTGTCCTGTTTGCTTTGATTAAACACATTTTATGTAAATTTGTTTGAACTCGTCTTTATTTAACCCTCACGTGGTGTTCAGGTCCGTGGGACCCATTTTTAATGTTTACCAAAAGAAAAAAATTATGCGATTTATTATTATTTTAACCCCAAATTCCTTGGCCTTTGCTCCTTTTCTGTGAAGAACATATGAAGTGACATATTTTCAGTGACTTCACACTGTATAGCCCCTACACATTTATATTACACATGTGGTGTTGGGGTGAACCCCTTCACTCTGTTCTCCTCCTACATGGCCTGCTGTTAGTGTGTGTGTGTCTGTGTGTGTTTGTATATATTTACGTGTGTGTGAGGGTGGACAACATGGACAGGCTGCTGACTGGCTACAGCTGCTAAAGGAGAACCCTATGCTGGCCACTTGTGATATTTTAAATATCTGGTATTTTTACATAAATTGTTATGGCTGTATTGTTTTAAAAAAACAATAATATGGTGGATCCAGCAGACCACTGAGTAACAAAAATATCAACACCACACAAGGGTTATTGACTTTAAAAACCCAACTAATCCAAAAGTAACTAAAGTAGTCAGATTGTTGCTGTGATATAGTAATCGTTTGGATTAGGTTACATATTAAAGCTAAAAGTAATCCGTTATCTGTACAAGAATACGGCTTTTTAAGTAATGCTCCCAACCCTGCATGCTAACTAATCGATTTTCTGTGCTATGTGATTGTGTAGACTCGTCTGGAGCCGGTGATGGAGGAGGCTGTGGAGCATGAGCTGAAGAAGTCCAGTAAGCGCACACTGCCTGCAGATTGTGGAGACTCCACAGCCAAGAGCAAAAGAGGAAGTGTAAGCACACAGACATGCACTTTCTTTCATACCTCTGAGGAGTCAAATTGCAGTGCCCTCTCTGACCTTTTTGTGTCTCGATCGTTTGTGAGCAGTAAATAGGTTGGCGTTTCAGTTTCTGTGAGGCATGCATTTAACAGTACTTCATAGAAAAATGTGAACAAGTTCTCGTCAGAAACTGTGCGTTATTAGTTGTGAAGTGTACAGAACAGCGTCAGAGAGTTATAAGCCCTTTTCAGGAGACAGTGCGGTGCTGGATTGACATCCTCCACACTAAAAAGGTCAAGAGATTAGAAATCTTCAGAAACCACTCTGATTGCTGGTTTAGAGGCAATCTCTCTTTAATGAAATTACAGGAATGATGGAAATTTGAAGAAAAAATCAATAACATTGATAAAAAAAGATTATTAGTGGTATTTAAACCTGTAAGCCCTTTGATGGTATTTGGATGGTCTGATGATATTTATTTTTTAACAATCTCGGTAAAAATGCTTCAACTTAATTTTAACCTGTTTTATTAATGCTGTCTAAGAACTGTGTGTGTGTGTGTGTGTGTGTGTGTGTGTGTGTGTGTGTGTGTGTGTGTGTGTTTTTTTTTGTTTTTTTTTTGTTGAAACAATGAATTAGTGGAAGACAAATATGATCAAGGATGAACACTTCATAGCATATGGTTAGTTTTTCACTGTACATAATAAGCCTTTTTTCCCTCTGTTCTTGTCTTTCTTCAGTGTTCTCCTTGGCCCGAGAATGCTTACGTGAACCCAAACACAGCAGCTACCCCAACATTTACCTCTAACACACACTCCTACAGCAGTAGCAATGCAGTACCCGACAGGTAACCAGAGCACAGCTTACTTATACAAACGTGGATTTGTCCTTTTTCCTGACACATTTTTCTAAGCATTTCCATTCATATTTGAGGATTTATTAGAAATTTAATAAGAATTTAATAAGAAATTAAATTCTGAAGAAAAGCACAATACTGAAGGCTGCTACTGGGACTTTATAATCATCAAATCCAAACATTTAATGCTATATATCTAGTGCTAAGGTTGCTTTATTCAAGCCCTCATAAGTTAATCTTGGTTCCAGCCAGTATGAAAATTAGTTGCTATAAATTTTCAACATTTTTTTTTTTTTATGTTCTCAGTGAAACATCTTCACCCAACCACCAAGGAGATGCTGGCAGTCATGTCGCAATGGAGGTTAGTATTGGCTTTACATAATATTCTATAAACCATAACACTATCTCAGTGTGAGTTCTTACTGCATTTGTGTTGCAGCAGACTTCATAATGTTTCCTTCCTTTTTCTATTTCTTTAAGTCTTTAAGCTCAACAGCGTCTATGCAGGATGTGCAGCAGTGGCTCCATAATAACAGGTTCAACTCCTATAGCCGGCTTTTTACACATTTCTCAGGTACTCTCTTTCTGCCTCTCTGTAACCCTGCGTTCACACCGGTAGAGACTTTTCGCCTCAAGTTGACCAGATTGCTGGTCAGTCATCGTTTCTGGGCATTTCTGAACTTGAGCTGACATTTTGTTGCCATTGTTTCACTGACGCTAAGCACAAATCAGATGCGTCCCCGCTAACAATTAAAATCCTGCAGAGAAATGGCTTGTCTATAAATTTAAACCCTAAGTAGTGTGAAGAAGACAGTGTTTTGTCTTTGCAATCGCCGTTTGCTACCACTGCCATTCCTCCATCTCTAGTAGGAACATACCACCCTGACCAATTCCCATTGGTAAGCACCACAGCGCTTTGCTCCTCATTTGCTAAAATAGTTAAACTTTGCTCAATTCTGGCTGCTTTGTAACATCATGTCGCTCCAGTGTGAATGCAGGGTGAGATCTGAGATAACAAACATCCACTTAAGACAGCAATGATGCTGCAGTGGTAATGTGCTGTATATAGTAATATTGTTACTATGGTATTGTGTTCTCATGCTTTTGTTAGGTTCTGATCTACTGAAGTTGACTCGTGAAGATTTGGTCCAGATCTGTGGGCCAGCTGATGGAATCCGCCTTTACAATGCACTAAAAACAAGGTAATCATTTTAGAGGACTCTTGTGTGTGAGCTAATGTTTATCAATATAATATAAAGCCCGTTTGTTTGAACCTTCAGTCTGAAGTGTATGTCTGTGATTGCAGAGCGGTCCGACCTCGGCTTACGGTATACGTCTGTCGGGAGGTGTCTCGCGGCGAGAGCCCCCTGCTGGAGAGACGCTGCCACAGCAAGAACGGAGAGCATGGCAGTCCCACAGCCATACATGGTGCACTCCCGTTGACCTCTCAGAAACCTGCAATGGCTAGATAAATAAATTAATGCCATAATACTGTTATATATATGTTTTCATAAATACTTAGTGATTTTCAGTCTAGTACAGATTCTGTTTATTGTCAAGCAATTCAGAGATGTTAACCCTTGCAAGTAGAGAAGGGTGACAAATGAAAGGAAAAAGTAGTAGGTAGTGCTCTTGCAATACTGTGATATGTAAGGAAAAACACAAGCAACTGTTCCTCAGGTGACTGAGAATGTCAATGCAGGATTTGATCAGACTGTGGCAGCAGGAATAATGCATCAACAAATACACAGAGAAGGATATTACAGTATGGGTGCAGTGCGTAAACCCCTCATTACAAAGACAAATGCAAATTTAAGAGTTTGGTGGTGCAAAACTATAGGTCTTTACAGAGATGTGGAAAAAAGTGATATGATCAGATGAGTTGTCTTTGTGCATGAGTGCATGTGTTCCATACACCATGAGAATGGTACAGGTCTGAATGCTTGAACCATATAGCAAGAAGCCCTGGTGGCTGTTATACCATGGAGATGCATTTTTCTTGCATGGTTAGGGTCCACTTGTCCCCTTAGAGCAGGGGTGTCAAACTCAACCACGAAAGGGCCGTATTTAAAAATCAACAAATCCGTGGGCCAGCTGTGTTTTTAAAAATATTTTAAAACAAAAACAAATTGTTTTGTATACAACAATAGACTACATTAGCTACAGATAACCGTTAAACCTCTTTAAGTGTCTCCAGAAAGTACGTCTTTTAAATCTGCCTATTTGCTTGAACTAGCCACCTGGCATCTTTTGTTTTTTTGTGGTGAAACCACCGTCCCATAGATTGTTGTTGGGGGAGAGAGGTCAGAGCGCAAATTACAATGACGTGAACGCTGGGGATTGTAGTGTAGCTCATGGTGAACCGGGCAGATATTAATAGAAAATTAAAATAATTTCACGGGATTGTGCCACAGGCCTGACTTGGCCCGCGGTCCTTGTGTTTGACACATGGGCCTTAGAGGGAAGAGTCCCTGCAAATTAATGCAAAGTTATTCTGACTGATTACCTTTATGCTATGATGTATATGATGATGAATATTTCTGTCCTAATGGGAGTGGTCTCTTCTGGGACAACACTGCCCCGTCCACAGAACATAAGGGGTCACTGAATGGTTTGATGTGTATGAAAATGATGTAAATCACATACAATGGCCTTCACAGTCACCAGATCTCAACCCAGTTGAACATATTTTATAGATTATGGTCATGCTTACCACCACTATCACCAAAACATCAGGTCAGGGAATATCTTTTGGAAAAATGGTGTTCCATCCCTCAGTACAATTTTCCAGAGACTTGTAGAATCTATGCTGAGGCACATTGAAGCTGTTCTGGCAGCTTATGGTGACCCAGTACCTTACTAAGACAACTATGTTGGGTTTTCCTTTACTTTGTCACCCATCTGTATGTATCTTTATTTCAGTTTAAAGGCTTTAATACTGTCATTCATGTGCTCAGTGTGCCTTTTTTTCTTGTTCCGCCTATTATCAGAAATATACTGTATATTTTTTTTGTTTGTGAAAATAATTGGATTTTTTTATATAGTTTACCATGCGCTGTACCTCGAGGAGATGACAGCATGTGAGCTGACCAGAAAAATATCCAATGTGTTAAACCTGCCTCTAACCCACATTAATCAAGTCTACAGGCAGGGGCCTACAGGAATTCACATACTGCTCAGTGACCAGGTATACATACATACATACATACATACATACATACATATATTCATACATATGTATGTACGTACATATATACTTGCACATGATGCATTCAAACGGTTCAGTTTAAGGTAGCCAACATGTTCTTCTCTCTCTCTCTCTCTCCTGTTATCAGACAATGGTTAGATGATGCCTGACCTGCTAATGTTTTGCATATTTATTTGCATAATATGACTTAGGAGCCCACTCACACCTTATGTAGCATAGCATTGATGGAAAATGTTTTATGTCCTGACTGCACTTCTTATGAGCGGTACAAATGTACAGTAAAGTTGATGTGTGCTACCTATTTTGCAGATGGTTTCTAATTTCCCTGATGAGAGCTGCTTCGCTGTCAGTACATTAAAAGGTAATGAGTTGATCTTTTATATGAAGGTTCTCGACTTCATGCACACAGTCTAACTCTGTTATCTGCTCCTGTGTTCCCTGATAGATGATACAAGCGACGGATTCCATCTGGTTCTAAAGTAGTTACAGTGGGAGATTAAGCGGAAGGCGATATGATGACGTCACTGAGGTTCCTCACTGCCGTTCTTGAGCACTGGTCATGCTCCCTCCATCCTTCTCTTTCTCCATCTCTCTGTCTCTCTCTCTCCATGTTTGAGGCAAGAAAGAGAGAGACCGAGCAGAGGTTGGCTAAGGCCTCCTAACTGTTAGAATCTGACTTAAGCGAGTACATTGTTTCATATTGAAAACACTTAACCTGATGATTGTGTGCGTGTGTGAGAGACAGGAGGTGGGGCTCTGAAGCATGAGTGTGTGTTTTTTAAGATGTAATGGGAGAGATGGAAGGGAGGGTCAAAAAAACAGACTACTCTGAAACCTTCTACATGAGCAGGGTGTTTATGTACGGTCCTAACTGACAGGGCTGTTTCCAAACTCTGTGGCCGGACAGTCCACACACGGGACAAAAAGCTGCCATCGCTTTATAGTTTGGTGACAGTACAGTCTCCACTTGAATAGTTTACCATGTCTGTAATAGTGGCTGTGCTGTTTGATTGCCTGACATAGATGTCTATCAAAAAAGGACTGCACTTTTTACCTTTTTTTGTTTTGTTTTTCTGACGCAGGACACCTTTCGTGTCTGCACAGATGAAATGATTCCTGTGTGAGTGTGATCACCTGTAGCTCATTATCCACTTGTGGAGATGCGAAGTTTGGGCAACATTTCCAGCTCTTTTTATTTTTAAGTAAACTTGTAAACGATGATGCTGCTTTGTCTGCGTCTCTTACCAAGACCAATCATCTCTGGTGCCATAAAGAACTGTTTACTAGATTCTGTTACACAGTAGCTTTTGAGGACTTGTGGCATTTTTAGTTTGCATTTCTTTGGGTTGAATTAAGCAGCCAAATGAAATGAGTCAACTTTAGTCCTCGCTCTTGCAATGACTTGTCAGAAGCTGGCATGAGATATATATATATATATATATATATATATATATATATATATATATATATATATATATATATATATATATATATATATATATATATAGCTCCTTTTTGTTCAGTGTCTAGAGCTGTAATAGAAGGCAGGGAATAATTGAATATGTTAAACAGAACTACAGATGTCTGTTATATAAATACTTCTGTCACCTTCCCTTGGGATAAAGGTGGAGATTCTGTCCAGAGGCCCTGTAAGTGTCTGTATGTGACATGCTGCAGCTATATGTAGCCGAGCAGCAGCCAATCAGGGCAGGCTCTGTGATTCCTTTTCTTTTTAGTTTTTTTTTCTTCAACAGAGACTAATATGATTGGTTATCTCAGTAGTTCAGCATCAGGCAGCTGTGCTTTGGCATGTACTTTGTTTGTTTGCCACTAAGCATGGAGGGCAGGAATGTTGCCCTCTTTAATTCTGTATAAGAAGAATGACCAGGTCTGCACTGACATGAACATACAAGACTGCCGCTCTGTTGGATGTGCTGATGTGCTACGCTTGATCGGAAGAGGGTGTAGGCCGTGTTTACCCACCCTCCGCGCTTCTGTACAGGGGGCAGCAATTGAAATAAGACGTTGATCTGATGACTAAACGCTCTCGTCCTCTGTGGATCATGTGGACTGTCCTATGTGTTTCCATGACAACAGTTATGGTACTTCCATATCACTGTGTCTGAAGGAAGCTTCTCTTGTACTGGAGGATGCTGGGATGTACACACTTCATGCCTGTACCAGAAATAAAATAATTTTAATACACACTTTTCTTGTGGATTGTGTTCCACTGCCCATCATACAAGATGCTGCCTATTTTGCTCAGTGAGGCAAAAAAAAACCATTTATCACACCAATCATAACTGAGTTATGATATTCTGTTTAGTTCTATTCAGTAATAGTACGTGGTTTAGGTTATGTTGCTTACACTTCATGTCCAAACATTTGTAGACATCTGCTCGTCCTGTTTTTTCTGAAATCAAGGGTATTAACAAGGAGTTTGTCCTCCCTTTTTCAGCGTAACAACTTCTACTCTTCTGGAAATTATTTAAACTGCTGGAACACTGCTGTGAAGATTTGATTTCATTAAGCTGTTAGATGATTAGTTCTAGATAATAAATGTTAATTTGGGCCCAAAAAAATGGTGCTCCATCATTTCAGAGAAGTTCCACAGCCAAGTGCAGGTGGGCTTTATACCTGTCTAGGCTATTCTTGGCATTGGTCATGATGACCTTTGGCTCACTGCACCAGAACATCCCATTCTATTGGCCATGCTTTTCAGTGTAGACTATACGAGCTGTGTGGGCAAATCAGTGCCTGCGTCTGCAACAGGTGCACTTTCAAGTAGCTGAATTTACTCATTAGAAGGGGTGTCTGGATACTTTTGAACAAACAGTGCATTCCCAAAGATCTTGACAATAACCTGTAACCATATTTGCTCTTACCAGCATGAGAAAGTGCTGAATTATACAACTGTATACCAGATACTAGAGGTTAAGTCATACAGTGTGAATCATCATTAATTCAGACAGTATTTAGGTTACAGTGCAATTCTGCCATATTTAAGATGCCTGGTACTAGATCTGTATTTATGCATGTAATTCTCTATAATCTTTCTGCTCAGCCTTATTTACAAGCAGCACAACTGTCTATCTGTAAGGCACTCAGTTGCTGCTCAGATTATAACCTTTGAATGCATTATGAAACTGCTTTAGATATGTATTATTACAGAGCTAAACCAAATTCAATATTTACCGTGCATTTTTTCTATTGTATTTTCTGCCTTTTTTAAAAGTAATAAGGCATTGGAGGCTAAACAACCCACAATGCACATGAGAAGAGAGGAAACTCATTTGTAGTAAGCTAAGTCAGCCTTATATTTACTATATTGAAGTGAAAAATATAATGTGAAATTTTATCTGGGGGTAAAAAAGGTAAGTTACCTAACGCCAAACTTAGAGGAGAAAAATTATGACAGGTCAGAAGAGGACCGATGGGACCATGAAAACAACACTGATCACCTCTGTATTGACATATTAAATAAATCAAAATATGTTGAAATAGTATGCACAGCCTGTTTGTATTTGTTATTGTATGCACCATTATGTTGTGCAGACATTTTAAAACTCTGATTTAATACTGTCTGATTTTTAAGAGGTTCTTGAAGTGTTCTTTATGAAAAAACTCATGGTAATACAAATTCCTGCATTTTAATGTATGCTATATGAATAATGTTTATTATTAATATTATTTCTAGAAATACTTGTTAAAAAAAACTACAGGGCCAAACCACAAAAATACATTTTTAAAATACTATGTATCAATAAATAGGTCACCTTGTAATTAGACTTCCTATCAGGGGACACGCCACCCCACTCAAATGCCCATTTATATTCTGATAATTACATGTTGAAGTGAGTTCATGCTGCAGCACCTACATCATCATCAACAGTATGTATGGTAAACACAGTTTAAAGTTATGCTGTCTGCTGTACAACAGTAAATACTGAACCATAACAGGTTTGATAGTCTGAAGGACTGTCAAGCAATCCAAGCTTTTTGAGACCCTTTAGTTTTATGGCTAGTGGCAAGCGACAGCCTCTGGCTCGCAAACTGAGCTCACACAAACATTAAGCCTGGTGCTTAACTTGGTCAATGTGAATAGAAATCATAACATATTTCCTTCTGTATTGTGACATTGTCAAGTGAAACAGCAGTGAACGTCTCTGGGTTAGCTGAGAATTTTACTGACAGTGGAGGTTAATACAATTTTCCCCACCCACTGGTGCATGGTGATGCAATTAAAACTCAGAAGACATTTAAGAGGTGGGCAAAAGTCATTACACTTTGATGGAAGATAATGAGTACTTTTTTATCTTTTAAACTGCATGATGAATCATGTTTAATATGATCAGGAATATGAACTAACGAGGTAAAACAGTTTGATTTTAGGTTGAATTGCAATTTAGAATCACCACTAGTAGCAAAATTCAGTTAAAGATTCTGTATCTGAGAAACTAGTTAAGTGAGATTCATACTAGCATTCCCAAAAGTAAAAAACAAATCCAGAAAGCAAAATAACCACCATGGTTTAACAGATCGTTCCCTTGAAAAGTGTGTAGATATTAATCAACTGTGTCAGATGTACAATGTCAGTTAGCAGTTTCTGGAAATTTGCTGCTGCAAAAAAAAGCATACAGAAAAGGGGAAAACCATGTAAAATGCTCATGTGATTGAAAGATGAAATAAATATTGACTTAATAGTACTTACATATTTACTTTGTACCATTTGACCTGTTTTAATATCCATAACATGCTAGTGACTCACTATTGTGAGTTTTCAGTGAAGTGTAACACTGTAGCCTATAAACTCCAACATCACTGAGTAAAAGGACACACTATGGGCTGATTTTGTGGACAAGGATTAAGCTTCGTCTTGGAGTAAACAGCAATGTCAGTGGCATTCCTAGACAGGTATTAGGCCTAGTCCTGGACGATGCAGCATTCGGAATGAAGATTCTTCATTAAAAGTGAAGTGTAGTCTAGGACGAGCCTTCATCCCTGTCTGGGAAACCAACCTTAAAAGTCAAATTTAGTCTAGGCTTAGGCTTTATCTGGGTCTGAAACCAGTCCTAAATGTCCAAATGTATCAAAACACCCCGTTGACCTTTGAGATGAGTTGTAGTGGGGTTTGTGATCCAGAACTAGTCATTCAGCAACATTATCTGACATCATTAATGCTCTTGAATGCAAACAAATCCTCACAGTAATATTCCAACATAGTATTGCTTAGATTAACCCCAAGCCTGGACCAAATGTAACTTTTAACGGTAGACACCGCTTGTTTTTGCGGTCTAAGGCTATACCTAATCCATGTCTATGAAAACAACCAAGCGGGTGTTTCACAAATCAGGATTTCTCAGTTAGCCAGACCAAAGATGAGGACTGTCCAATAAGAATTCCCCTCAGCTTATGTCCTATTGGACAGGCTTGACTTTGGGCTCAAGTTATCTGGCTAAACTGAGAAATCCTGCTTTGTGAAATACGCCCCAGAGTCTACAGCTGCGTCCAAAACCGCATACTTTTATGCTATACATACCAAATTAATGAATGGACTTCTTATGGTGGCGTATTAGGTTTGGCATACTTATTATGGTAGTATGTGAGGGATGCAGCCTATATTGAGCCGAGCGCTGCTTCGTAAACACTCGGCAGTCACCGGAAAGATCCAGGAAGTGCAGCGCTGTTTTTGTGCCCGCTGCTGTTCTCCATTCGCCATAAACCCGAGTCACTTCAGCGGGCCGAAATGGCGACGTTTATTTCTGTCCCGTTAAAGAAGTCTTCAGAAGTTGATTTGGTGAAACCGCTGTCAAAATTTGTCACTTCTGCTTATCCGGCGGGAGAGGAGCAGTCGGAGTATCTCCGCGCAGTGGAGGAGCTGAATAAGCTCCGTAAAAGCGCGCTGGGGAGGCCGCTGGACAAACACGAAAGCTCGCTGGAGATCCTCTTACGGTCAGTCTGTTAGCTAGCTGAATAACTGTCTAGCCACGGTGACCGTAATGTATTACATGCTCGGTGCTAAAAAAGCTCTGTATATACTAACAATGTAGCTGCATAACAACAGAAATGGTTTAGATAAAATAATGTCAAACTAGCTAGTAAGGCTAAACTAGCTAGCTAACTAGCGCAGCTAGCTAGCTACCTAACAAGCTTGCTTTCTACCTGAGCAGCCACTGTTCACATTTGATTATACTGCGGTTATATTCCTTTAGCAACGAATATTATGTGCATTTTATGTGAATTTTAAGTGTATAGTAACATTAACTAGATAACGCAAGGTAGCTGAATATCTATGCTAGCTAGGTTAACGTTACCTGTCATTTGTTTGGGTACTGACATGTTCTAGGAAATGAGACTTTGTTCTAAAAACTTAAAAGTCGACCTACAAACGCGTCAATCTAGATTTTGCAAGCGGTGTCGAAGCTTT